TCTTTTTTCTTTCTTCCTACACGACCTGCCCCATTCAAACGAAACTAACTTTGTCAAATATGCAGATGATCTGACTGTATCACTGCCTATCACTTCCGAGTCTGACAGCTCCAAACTTAATAGCTTTCTGTTGGACATCAACAAGTGGTCCAAGTCAAATGGTCTTATATTAAATCCTTCCAAATGTCAGGTAGTTAACTTTACTTTCAAGCATCGACGTGACTTACTTGAACTAGTTAACTCTCATGATCCCTGTAGCATAGATGGCACGGAAATTGAAACCAAATCAAGCATTAAATACCTTGGATTAGTTCTTTCCTCTGACCTTTCATGGTCATCACACATCTTATCTATCTCTAAGAAAATGTTTCGTCTACCCTTCTACATTAAAAAGTTAAGACAATCAGGTATTAACCAACCTTTACCTCTGAAGTTTGTAAACTCCTGTATTTTACCTATTGTACTCTATTGCTCTCCATTAATTTTTCCTGGGCTTCTCAAAAAAGATTATATCATATTACGAAGAGTATTAAATGCTGTGAGTAGGGCTTGTGGTCTGCCACTGCGTGAGCTCGCTAATACTATAATCGAGAGACACAAATTCCTGTACAAAATGGGCAAAGGCCGTACTGTCAGACCCTCTGCACCCACTTTATTCACACCTATCCCCTTGTATCTCATCAGGTAGGACGAGAAGTCAATATAAAAAGTTATATGCTCGTACCACTAAGTATAGAAATTCTACAATACCCTATTTAGCCCGTACTTTATGTGACGAAGACTCTGTTAGACGTGAAACTTACAAGTTACTATGTAATTAGCACAGTGAATCGACCCTTTCATCGTTCATCTTTCTGTATTTTATGGTGTCACACTTTCTATCGTTTAATTATTACTCTGCTATTTTATTTTAGTTGGTATTACTATTATTACTACAATTTTGTTCTTTATGCATAGTTTCCTCCAGCTCAGAGAACAAAACCACATCAAAATTATCCACCTGAGCTACAAATCTTCTCTATCATATAGTTTCCTCCGTATTGCATACAGTAATTTGCTATGTAGCTGCTATAACAACGTTTTATTATTATTATGTAATGCTTATTTTTATATTTTTTTGTCGTTTTTGAGTAAATTAGATGCAGTATTGTACTGAATGCTGAAAATTCCTTGCTGTATCACTAGTACTGTTTTTGGAATAAAGCAAATTATCATTATCATTATTATCTCAACCCACTGAACAAATCTTAATCTCATAAACTCTAACCGCTTTTGTTTTTTGAGTTGCTATGTGAACCTGCAAGCTAACACTGTTCTGTTAATTATTTTTTTCTGTTTTCTATCTTACCCCTCCCTCTCTTTTCAACTTTAAAAGCGTATAAATTGGTGGTGAAAACTTTAACTAAAAATTGTAATGCTTTCATTTTCGATGCGTCATTTTATAGTATCTATTCTCTACTACCACTCAAACGTTAAAGTATGTTATTATCATCTATAAAACCATTGTAATTTCAGGTAGTGGTGTGCAACTGATGCGAACTTTTGAAATAGAATGATATCATTTTATGCTACAAAATTCGTCTACCTTTCTTTATCGAAATTTATCAAGGTAACCAATTGTATGATGTTTCAACTAAGTTGATAGTTATTATTTATTTTTATCCTAGACTGTAGATCATTGACCTGACATCTGCATATTACATAATCACTTGATCCTTATTTGAATTTGTCCCTGTTTAATCTCTCATTCTAATGCTTCTCGTTGTGATTGTGTGAAGATATTGCTAATATGTTGTTTTACGATGTGATTTTGTTCGAGTGAATCAAGGTTATTCTGTTCCTGAACAGTCTGTGGGAACTGTGTATGTGTGTGTGATTCTTTCGGAAAGATTTTTCATCCCACCTAATTTGGAATATTCCTCTCTCTGTCTGGATTCAACATAGGACTTACCACCAAAGTGCACCAGTTCGAGTTGCCACGTTCCAAATAGCACACAAAGGTAGACAAGAAGATGAGTGAAGAGAATCAATACAGTCTGACAAGTATAAGAGTGAAACGGAATGGGTAATGTTAGAAAGGAATATGGAAGATTACACAGACTGAATACATCTGCACTGGCCACTGACAACGATTTTCAGCCATGTCACCTATTGTCTCCAGCCATTGATTCCTAGAGTCCCGAGGGCCCCAACCCGGAAGTCTGCATATCCCTCCCTACCTGACTCAGTTTAACTGTCAAGGATTTCATGGATTGATGAGGCCATGTTTTTGTTTGGCCACCACTGGCTTTTTCCAACCTGAACCTATATCAGCTAGCAATGCCCGTCGGGGGAGGCGATGGTTAGGCATGCGCAGCACCTGACCTAGCCATCTCAATCTATGTAACTTTATAGCCTCGTCGATTGATTTTCCCTGTTTGCCCAACATTCTACGTCTAACGTCAACATTACTTACCTTATTAAACCACCTAACGTGAGACAGAGATCGCAGACATCTATGATCGAAAGCAGTCAACCTTTTCATTTCTTCAACTCGTATTGGCCATGTTTCAGAGCCCTAGAGAAGGACGGAGAGAACTGATGAGCAGTACACACGTCCCCCTCGGATGTCACGCCTACGCCAGAGATGGTGTAAGTCAGCGAAAGCAGCTCGAGCTTTTCGGATCCGTGCTGAGATTTCGTCGCCAATCAGTCCGTTGGTGCTGATACAACTTCCCAAATAGGCGAAGTGGTCAACACTTTGGAATATTCCACTTGATTCTAAGTGCTTTTTTGAACTTAGAAAATAATCTTGACTCTATAACTAGCTGGCGTGTGCCACTTTTGAGGTAATTTTGAATTTTTATTCTTAATACTGTTGAATGTAATCACAGATTCATCGAAGACGTATGGTCTTTTTCCTGTCTTCATTGGGGGCGTTTCATGTACTTGTCAAGTATAGAGTTGGACGCAGAGGAGATCGGATTTTTGCGTTCAGACCACAAGAATTATTTTTTGCCGTAACACTGACCTCCATCATCTTTCACGCTAGTACAGGGAACAGTGTTCTACACAACAACTGTAAGAAGCAATCACTCAAAGTGAAGGAAAGAAGTTCTAGGGATGTAAGAAAAGTATTTCAAAAGGACTGTATATCTTAATCAGTTGAAGTGGTTCAAGCATGCTATGCATGTCGAATCACATTACTCAACTGGAAAGGGTTTGATTTCCGAAGGACTGGATACTTCTATTACTCAGAGAAGAGGATCTTTCTATCCCCGTCTGATTTTATATCATACAGAGAATTCTTTTTCCAATCGACTTCAGCTTGATTAACAGTAGGCATGACATGACTTATACAACGTAAAACTTCGTATAATTCATTGTGATACATTTTTGGAAAGGATATAAAGGCAGAGAACGAAAATGTAGTGTAAGAACAGTGATTACTCATAGAAAGGTACTAAGACCATTTCCGAATTGGACAGTAGTGAGAACCGACGACTCTCTATAGAAATGTCGACGGAGAATCGTTAACTTTCTAAGTAAGTAATACCAGGTGAGCATAGAGAAGACGGAGGTGATGAAGATAACCAATGAACAGGAACAAAAACAACAACCAGCGCCAACATCACCATCAACGGAACCACTTTGAAAGAGGTTACTACTTCCTTCACTTATCTATATAGCATCATTTCAACCACAGACGGAATGCATGTAGATGCCAAAGAGAGCATCGTAATGGCATGAGAGACCTTCATCAGGTTGTATTCAGTTTGCAGATCTTCTGCACTCACTTAGCATAAAGAAGTATATATTCGGATTTTTAACAAAAATACGGGTGGAAAACTTGGTCAGAGCTTAAGGAAAGGGCATTTCCAACAAGCCACTGCAGACTTTTATCAACTGTCGCCTCCTCCTCCATATTGAAGACAAAATGGCCAACCAGGAAAATTAGTAACAAGAAGCTTTCGGAACAAACCAGCCAAGAACCTATTCGTCAACAAATAAGTCTGTCTGTCTGTCTGTTTTCGACATAGAACTTTGCACAAATGTGCGCCAGTTCAAGTCGCCACATTCCGTGTAGCACGCGAAGCAAGCAAGAGAAGAAAGTACAAGAAAAGCATAATAGAAACAGTGAGCAGAGGTGTGAGACAAAGGAGTAATAAACAAATACAAAACAGTTTCATTGAAGATCATAAGTCACAGGGAGTGGATGCATCTGCGCTAGCCACTGAGAACGATTTTGAGCCATGTCACCAATTGTTTCCAACCATAGATTTTTACCGTCCCGAGGACCCCAGCCTGGAAGTCTACACCTTCCTACGTGACTGGCTTAGACCAACTGTTGTGGATTTCATTGACTGGTGAAGCCAAGTTTTTGTTTGACCGCCGCTAGCTTTTTTCCAGTCTGACCCTATATCCGCTAACATAGCTCGTCGAGGAAGGCGATGACTTGGCATACGTAACACATGTCCTAACCATCTCAGTCTTTGTAGCTTCACGACTTCGTCGATTGATTTCCCCTGTTTACCTAGAACTCTACGCCTAACCTCCATGTTGCTCACCTTATTATGTAGAAGAAAATGGAGAAGAATTGGGCACATGCTGAGAGGAGACCGTCGAATGACATCGTGCACCAGGGGTCATCATTCGAGTGGAACCTGAATGGGAAAGGACGATTCAGACATCTGTGGGTGACATCGGAGAAGATCACAGAAAATAGAACGAAGTGGATATATATGTTGTTGAAGCCTTACATTCCATTCAGAACCTAAGGGAATAATAATAATAATAATAATAATGATATCGGCTGCTTCGCAAAAGATTATTCGACATCAGTGGTATTCACCGTCAATCGATTTCCGCAATATTTATAGTTTTCCCTTTTTAATAATTATATAGCATTTTCGTAAAATTAGTCCAAGACGTTATTGCGTCCATTGATCACAGCGCTTACAGCAACTCTTCTTCACCACTTACCAGAAATTCAACCGGAAAAAGAAAAAAAATGACCGAATCACATTGTAGAAAATCAATATCTTTACAAAAAACATGAGGAGAAATACAGACACATTCATAACAGTGTTAAACAATCTCAGTAAATGTTTTCTCTGAATATTAGAATATCATAAATTTTATATATATAAATATGAAACATAACTGGGCGCCAGTACATGACAAGTATTGGAAAGAAGATGCGAAGAGACACACACAGAGAGAGAGAGAGAGAGAGAGATAGAAGGCCACAACAACAAGAGTATGCCTATAGATAATTCCTGAAGGAATATGATAATTTCTTGTGCAGTGTGTGTGTGTGTGTGGCGTGGGTAACAATAAAATTAAGCAGAAATTAATTAAGAAAAGGACAACAACTGTGAACACGACTAAATCTCCACCTCTCATTCATTCATTCAGCTATCCACAATCAGAAATTCAGTGGTAACAAGGCATCATTCAACTAATCGTCTTTTGAACAAGAACGATGGAAAGGCGATAATATTCTTTAATATGAATATGTAGATTGAAGATAAGAAAGAAGATGGAAAATACATTTTTCTTATATTGGTTATTATTATTATTATCAAATTTTTATTTTCAAAAACTTGTTTTCTGTTCACTTGTTCGTTAGTTAACAACTGTACTCGAACACTTGTCAGCAAAAGCACCCATAGAACAACCACAACACACAATGTGTGTGTATGCGCGTGTGTGTGTTTGTGTTACACGAGCACACATACACACACACACACATGCACACACGCACGCACACTGACAATACTAATTTCGTTGGATTTTCTTTTGAACAATTTATGCCTGTCGCTTGTTAAGGTTGGTTGGTTATATCCCACTTTTCAAATCAGAAGATCCGTCATGATGAATAAGTAATCTAATCGTTTGAGATGATATGCTCAATTGGCACATCGTTTTTGACTGTAAAATACGTAAATAAATAAATAAATAAACAGAATTATTAGACTTCACTTCCATACAGTTAACAATGAGATATTAAGTATGATTATTTTTTTCACAAAGCCATATACTACTGATTGATTGAGATGAGTAGACAGATATCACTTATTTCAGTAGTACTTGTTAGCCAATCATATCGAAGTGATCCAAACACTGGATGGTGGTCGTTTCACCCCTGCGCGACAGAACTCATTAGTGGGTGTATTCGGTTTGACTCGACTCAGACAGCTAAATCAGTTTAAAAAGCATCCAATTTCTGGCTAGCTAATTAGGAGAACTGAATCGGAGTGCTACTTTGCAAGGATTTCCATCTTAGACCACACGAACTAAACTTCAGTTGGAACTATAGGAAACAACCAAGTATTACTACAAAGCCGTTTCGTTTTAGTTTGGATACCTTCAATGGCATGCACTCATAACCAAACAGGTAGGAATCGAACCTAGGACATTCAGGTTTCCAGATGAAGAATCCACTGCTGAAGAGTCCCCCCCCCCGACTAAGATGAGACAGTTGTTCAGTAACGCCTGATTTTCACATTAATTCCCTTAATGAAGTTAGCTCATAATCTCCCTGAAAAATGGAAAAAAATATCAGTTTTAAAGGAAGTTGCTACAATGCAGCTACCACCAACAGCGATATAGTATAAAGTCAGACAAATCCAGATTCACAGGAAATCTATCATTTTGCAACCCGTCTGTTGAATATATATATATATGGACCAAGAGACAAATATGAGTAAGTATAAATTAGTCCAATTTATTACAATTATTAAAAGACTTGATACATTATGGGTAACAAGAGATGGGCCACACGAAATCTCATTGTTTGTGTGAAGGTTGGGGTACTGTTCGGATGTCTAGACCGAAACAGATGGTTGTTTTAAGGAGCTACCTCCAAGCGTGTGACTTGAAACCTGATCCGTGAGGCAGCAGTAGAGAGTGAGGAGCTAAATTTTCATGGTTTTCGATGACCTAAACAGGCTCATGTATCATTCGATCCTATCGGGTTCTTCAGGCCACAGGATTAACCACAGGATTTGGAATTAGGGCTTCTCCACTCCCCTACGCAGATGTGAATGTCCATCAGTCTGTCTATATGTGCCACACGTTCACATTCACTGTTTCACTTTTGTGAGGAACACCTCGGCTGCGTAAAGGTGGTGGTGAATAGGACCTACCTGGTACAGATGATATATGCATGGCAACATGACAGTATTTCAAGAGCAAGAGCGAAGTCTACCCACCTCATCAGCTGTATCGGATCGTTTATGGGGGGCAGTGTCAACAGGGTTCAGAATTCCCTCAAAAATTAAAATCTAAATGAATTAAATCCTAATAAAAGTGATCCCTTCCTTGATTTATAGCTTTTATTCCCAGCTTTTTCAGATTAGTGATACTAAGAACATATTTTGAACATTTTTCACAAACTCCAATTTTGTTTACATAACTGGACGGTCTACGTTTTTCCACCAAGGATCATGTATCAAATCGACCCCGTTGCATTTAAAAACTTTAATCACGCCTTTAGACAGTAATCTGTAGTGGTGATGTGTTCCTGTGCTTTCCCAGTGGGGCATAGGACTTAAAGCTTTGAAGTTTCGGTAGCGGTGGTGATTTCATTTACTGCGGGGGTGGAGAATCGCTAAGCTCATACCCAACCTTCCCTCATTTTCTCTCAATTACTACTACCAACTAGGCGACGTTTAGGAGTACGTCGGTGGGGAATCGAACCCTCAGCCCGTGGGTAGCTGGAAAGCATTCATTCTATCACACCATAGTAGTCACTTGCATTTATAAATTAGCTTTCAATATACTGCTTAGCTTGTTTGTTATTTTCGGAAGGGACAATATCGTGGAGGGGGGTTGGCGTATGCTTGAGGTGGAACAACAGTGAATCAAATAATTACAGTATTAATTAATATAAATTATAATTAACGGATCTATACATAGAGTAAATATTCTGCAGTAAGACGCATTGAGACCTCTGTACTGTAAATAAACATACTGTCCAGAAGTTACTATTATAATTAATATTATTTATTAATTAGTTAATTAGAAAAAGTTCACCTAATCAAAAAGGTTCATTAGATATACTCAACAGTAAAACATATTTCACATATATCAGGAGATACGTTAAGATATTCTCCAGATTTTGCACACTTTATTTCTTGCATATCACATACCAAAAAACTTTTAGTTTAGCCGTATTTCGTTATTTTCAACAAAGTTCTAGTTATTGAATTGAATTTTTGATTTTCACGTCGATTGATTGGACCGAAGTGCTCGGTCTCAGGTTGACGTGTCGGCTTCTTGTGCAGATGCTTCGACGATGTCTAGGCATTTAGTTAGTATACAATTGGTGGATGGTGTCAACCTGAGACCGAGCACTTCGGTCCAATCAATCGACGGGAAAATCAAAAATTCAATTCAATAATTAATATGACCCGTCGCACAAGAGGTGGTTCTCGTGGCCCAAGTGGTCTAGTGGATAACGCTTTGGCGTTTGAAACTATGGGCACTGGGTTCGAGCCTCGGTGGGAACATCATCACTCACTGAGAAATGCAGGTACATCCAGCTGACGAGTCCCAAATAGGACGAAATGCGCATCCTGGATTCCACTGCTAGCCACCATCCACCAACTGTATACAAAGTTCTAGTTACATTTAAAATGTACTGATAGATAGTTACTTCGCCACTGTTGTCACTGTCACCACGCAGCAAGGCATACCTGCAGTCTTTGAAGGACTACTGTCCCTCCCCCTCTGAGATTCAAGCACACGTCACCCAATGCTGCAGTCAAAGACGCTACCATTGAGTTATTTGAGGCCCACGATTGACCTCCTTTGTAGGACTCTAATGGATACTTCAAAAGGACAAAAGGTAGAGTAACGAATGCCGAGCATCCAGTCCGAATTTTATCAGTCAAATCTGCAATGTGACCACCATGCTAGATAGCTTACCATCACGACATACACGCCTTTCTGTCGATTACACCTCCAACCATCTGATAACAACAATTCTGAGGGCACTGGTAGAATTCAGTCTACGCCAAACTGAATTCTAGACACGCGAGACATTAGTTACTATCTGGTATCCAATCAAATTGGACAGTTGCTCAATATCAGAATAATGTCTAGCTGCACAATTCGTTGTTTCAATGATTAACCTGAGTCTTCCTTTCAACATGATGTTGTTGGACTTCCACTTAAACAGTAGCATTACGTTCTAACAAAGGTCATAGAGCATTGAATCGTTTTTACACAGACTGATTACCACTGAAAGATGAACGTCATTCGGCAATGCCTCCATGATATCAATAATCTTTCCACTATGGATAATAAGATTTTATTTTGATAAATCACACAGTGTTGTACAATAATATTAACTGATGACATTTCGAGCACTAAGTATTGCTCATAATCATACCATATGATAATAATGCAGTTAATGTTACAGTAGAACACTGTGACTTTATCAAAATGAAATTTTATCTATAATGGAGTTATACTCTACGACAGTGCCCAAGTTTCATACTTATATCAATAATCTTTGCTTGGAATTTTTTATTCTTTGTATTCCTTTACGTTCCCAGTGGAACGAACATAGGGCTCCAAGCTAGAAGGCTTGAAGTTCCGGTAGCAGTGGTGTTCATCTTTTACGGGATGGGGTTGCTAGCCTCACTCATGCCCAACCTTCCTTTTTTTAGCAGCTTTATTACTGGAGTTAGTGAGGTAAAAGAGTGCGTCCATGGCCGGGGATCGAACCCCGGACCATATTATGCATGGTCGGCGAGCAAATGATATGCTTGAAATGGCATTCAGTAAATAATAAACTGAATCAACTTGCTCGTGTGTGTGTGTGTACTTGTTAATAAGAACGTAAAAATCTAAATTACCTCGGTGTTCCAAAAACTGCGTCAGCGTCTGGTGCCCCTCTTGGATGATTATACTTCACCCAATAGTCTCGGTTAACATTTATGGGAAATTGATGAGCCAAAACAGCATCTGGATCACCAAATTGACCTAAAATAAAACGAAATAATTAATACGATAAGATTAGAATTATATGATGTTGCTTCGATAATGACAATATACTTAAAACCATACCACAAATATAAGGTCTAATATTTGTTTAAAAGAAATGAAATTTAGCTGCCTAGTTAGTGTTTGTGTAGCGATTGGATTAGTTTTCCGGAGTAGGATTGTAACCCCACACCCAACCTTCCCTCTTTCTCCCGGCAGAGAACCGGCTAATAAACTAGGGAACTATACAGAAGAAGCAGGGAGGACAGGACTTCAAGTGAACATAGAGGCAGATAGAGATGATGAAGTACAAGTCATCATCAAGGGGAGGGATCTGGAGCAATTCATTTCTTTCATTTACCTGTTACTTAGAAAATATCATTTCGACTACAGGTGGTAAAGACAAGGTCGTCAAATAAAGGATGAGATCTTTATTAACTCTGGAATTAGTGTACTTAGAATTAGGAACAAGAGAAGGATTTTCAACGTTAATCACAAGTCAGTTCTTCTATATGGGTTCAGAGCATGGCGCATCACATAAATACATTTCCAACAGGCTATTATGCGGAGACTTTCATAAAGAGCCGTATTTGCTCTATCCTGAAGATTATATGGCCGAACAGAAAGGATTAGCAATAGGCAACTCTGGGAACAAACGAACCAAAAACCTATTTATTGCCCAACAAGTATGAGTAGTAGATGGGGATAGACATGTTGGGTGAAATCAAGCATCGCGCTGTTGAGTGGGAGCCGACTAGAAAAGGATGAGTTTGGCAGGCAGAGGGATCCGCGAGACTGAAATATGAATTTTGACACCTACGTGTCATTCAATAACTCTTAACTATGCGAAAAGGTAAAGAGGCAAAGAAAGGAAAAACTTTCTGTGTTTAATGCCAGAAACAATGAAGCAACACAACAAGAATAAGAGTTATATCTATCATAAGCAAGCTACTTGCATTTGTAGTCATCATCCATATTTCGTAATTGAGAAAAGTATCAGCAAATTGTTTACTTAAGTTGATTTCGTATTCCCCATTGACTGAATATATCGGAACGAGATGTTCGGTCTCTGTTGACATGTCGGCGGCTCTTAGCACAGATACTTCAATGATATTTAGAAAAGACTAACTAGAATGATGCCATCTGGTGGATGGTGATTAGCAGTCAGATCCAGAATGCACATTTCGTCCCATTTGAGACTTGTCATCTAGATGTAACTGGACCCCCCCCCACTACTACTAAGAAATGGTGTTCTTGCATGGACTCGAACCCAGCAGCACCTCGTTTTTCCAAACGCTTAAGTGGAGGCATTTACAAATACGCTTCTCCCTTCTCTAACTTACCCCATTCCATTTCTTCTTCTTTTTGAGCTTCGTGCATTTCAAGAACAAGTTGTTTCATTCTTGCCTTTTCTTCCCGTTCAGCTGCAGCAGTCTGTATATAACGTGCTGCAAATTGTACTGAATCAGGCACAGCTAATGGTACTAGATGAGGTTTATTTCCACGACGTGATATCAGTGTGAATGGTACAATATTCTTAAGAAAAATAATAAAAGATAATACCATATCATTTTAATAAAACTGCTATTCGATAATAATGTAATTCAAAAATATGCATTATAACACTCATAAGTACAAAAATGTATTAATACCTAACGGAAATCTACTATCAATAATTTCACTTCGGTAATTTTAATTTTTTTTATTACAGCTTGATTCCACACTGTATTTTTGGTACAAGTATGGAATTTTCAGCATGGATATCGGTAGGCCAAATTTTGCAGGCCGACCACAGATATCAGGTGTGCGTCGGCAGAGGATCGAACCTCGAACCATGTGCATGGTCAGCGAGAGTCCTAACCACAGTGCGTGCATATACATACAGCGAATAAATTTTAAAAATTGGTCTGAATGAAGAATATTTTCTTCATTGAATTCTCTTCAGGTTAAAACAGTTTGAAAAAAAACAACATATTTGTTATCAAGAACAGAATATTCAGCGAAGAGACTCTTTTCAACGAATTTATTATCAAGCTGTACAATCGCATATATATATATATATATATATATATATATATATATATATATATATATATGGTTTTTAAGCAATTATATCCAGTGAATATATTCCCTGGAATATGTTCTCGTATCCGTATGGAAAGCGTCCTCTGACTACGGCCAATGTACCTTGCTCCACAAGAGGAGCAGGTGGACTGATAGATGCACATGGAGGTGGCCAGACGGGGTTGCTTATCTTTTATTACAGAGGTGGAGAACAAGTTGCGGCTAGTGAACGTCTTTGCAGTAAAACTATATATGACGTTCACTAGCCGCAAGCTGTTCTCTACCCCGTCTGGTCACCGCCATGTGCATCTGTCAGTTCACCTGCTCCTCTTGTGGAGCAAGGTACACTGGCCGTAGTCAGAGGACGCTTTCCATACGGATACGAGAACATATTCCAGATACATGGTTTTACAAGGGAGAAAGGAAGTGTGTGCGAAGCTCTATTCTGGAACACCTAATCGACTTCTGTCACTCTTTCAACCCTGACCATCATTTCAAGATCATATATAGAATCCATGCTAACTTCTAGCGTTTGCTTCATTACAGACTTCTAAAAACAGTGGAGGCCTTGGTAATTCATGACATTAAGCCAGACCTTTGTATACAAAAGAAGCATGTACAATCCTTACTTCTGTCCAACTTGTCATTCTAAACCCAAAATTATTAATTTTTATATAATTTATTTTTCAACATTAAATTCTATCTCAGCAAATTTCACACCATGTTATGTAACATTTCATATTCGCCTACTAATCCTATCATTATGCACCCTTTTCAACATCTATACACTTTATGTATTATTCTATATATGACATTAATTGTTTTGCCACTTGACATTTAACCATAATTATAATCACAAATATTTTAATTGCATTTCATACTACTACTATTATTATTTCATGTATTCACACCTTTGACCTAATTACCACACCGGAATTAATTTCTTAAAAACCATATTTGTATACGATTGTACAGCTTGATGATAAATTCGTTGAAAAGAGTCTCTTCGCTGAATATTGCGTACTTAATGCTACAATGGGAATTATTAAAATATTTGCTATCGTTACAATGATAGCCGGTTATGCGGCAGACACCTATTTTAAATAGAATTACACACTGGTTAAAGGTTGGGCACACGTGGTGGTCAGAATGTGCGTCGGTGGTGGCACAGTGTTTAGGACTCGCGCCGACCATGCACAGGGTCCGGGGTTCGATTCCCTGCCGACGCATACCCGATATCTATGGTCGGCCTGCGAAATTTGGGCTACCGATATCCGTGAGGAAAATTCCATACCTTTACCAAAAATACGGTGTGGAATCAAGCTGTAACCAAAAATATTAAAAAAATAATTACAAAGTACTGTGAAATCTGAGATCATGAGGATGGTGATTAGTCAGAGTGTGGCGTGTGCCACTGATAAGATCCATCAGTATTATATATATATATATATATATATATATACAAAGAGATGTTCATCAGCATAAAAGCGTAACATAGCAGGGAGATAGATTTGATGTCACAGAAAGCAAATGATCAAGATTTACGAAGGTACATCAACGAGGCTATAAAGTTACATAGACTAAGATGGCTAGGTCACGTGCTACGCATGCCTAACCACCGTTCCCCCCGACGGGCTTTGCTAGCTGATATAGGTGAAGGTTAGAAAAAAGCCAGTGGTGGCCAAACAAAAACATGGCCTCATCAATCCATGAAATCCTTGACAGTTAAACTGAGTCGGTCAGGTAGGGAGGGAGATGCAGACTTCCGGGTTGGGGCCCTCGGGACTGACTCTAGGAATCAATGGCTGGAGACAATAGGTGACATGGCTCAAAATCGTTGTCAATGGCCAGCGCACATGTATTCAGTCTCTGTAATCTTTCATATTCCTTTCTACCATTACCCATTCCGTTTCACTCTTATACTTGTCAAACTCTATTGATTCTCTTCACTCATCTTCTTGTCTACCTCTGTGTGCTATTTGGAACGTGGCAACTCGAACTGGTGCACTTCGGTGCCAAGTTCTATGTTGAATCCAGACAGACAGACAGACATAGGAGATGTCAAAGGAACACAAAGAAACACAATATGAAGGAAGGCCAGAAATAGCACAACAACACAGAAGATCTGTGCAAATGGTACATTGAAGATAAGGTGTACATAACTTGACTATATAGAGATGCCTAAATGATACCTAAATAAACATTCCTCACCAAATGTTCCGCTTTCTACCGTTAACACAATAGCAGATTCATACAATATGGGGAGGATTGAACCAGTTGTTGGGTGGGTGGATGGTTGACATGTAGTAGTCACATGATGTCTGCTTTGTTTTGATAGTCTGATATGTTTGCTATATGTATATTGATCGATATTCCATTATAACTCACCATATGCTTTGTCTGTCCATTAGCTAAATAAACGATGTATGACCTTTCTATCACATGACATTACAACCAATCAGAATTCAATGGTGGTAAAAAACTACTCTCTATCTTATTGGTTCATGTATGTTAGTCATTTTCATACAAACTCGTGTATTGTACACTTAATACATTCTTTCACACTTTTCGTACACTGCGTGCCTTTTCACTTACACTCTTTTGTGACAGTTAATTTCCCTTGTTGGAAAATACACGTATCATCGTAAACGTGGTGGTCTTTTGATTTACCTCCTTCGCGTCAGGACAAATTAACTACTCAGCAGTACCAGTCTGTACACTATCGTCCGTTATATCATTAGCGTATATTTATACTCGGTCACAGTCTAATAACGACAACGACCCCATAACATATTGGCGACGAGTACATAACAATGGTACAAAATAGTATGCATTAAAGAGAAGATAGTAAAAGACTGAGGTGAATAGTTCATTAAGAAATAATCAATATGTAAAATGAAACAGGTGGAATCATATATATAAAAAAGACGTAATATGTCTAATAATAAAACAGAATGATATAAATGTTAAATTCAATAATATTGGAAGAAAGCAAGAATGGAGAGTAGAAACTAGGAATAGCCAACAGACTGCATACTTATCAACAGCTCCTATCGCTCGATACTAAAGATCCACTGGTCAGAAAGAAATAGCAACAAAGAACTCTGAGAATAAACCGATTAAGAAACTATCGCTTGACAGATATTCCGAAGAAAACGGAATGGGACGCGGGACAGTTTTTGGTAGAAATCATATTTTAATTCATCCGAACCGCAGTCGATTGAAGCGCAAGCGGAGACTACGAAAACACAACGATGGGTACCGCCGTCCTTCTTCTGCTAACGCACCCGTTCAGACGGACCACACACATATGATTATTTACTGGGATCCAATCAAGAAGGGATTTGTCTGCCCCAACACTCAATGCTATCCCTACACATGTGAGGCCAGGTGAACTACTTCAAGAGTCTCCTGACAACCTTAAAGTGAATTTGGCAGATTCACCTTGTGGGTTGGTTGGGGGGGGGATTAAGTGAATAACCACACTCAGGTCGTGAACGTGTATCTCCGAAAAACAACAAACATGCATGGCTTGAGATACCAGAGTTCTGGTTAGCGATTCGCCACAGGGTCCTGATGTTAAATGCTCCGGAGTGTTTTTTTCTGGCTGTCGTCATTATTTTTAGTCGCAAAATGGAATGAAGATGATTGACAGGGCTGAAAATACTAGTCCCCCCCTCTGAAACAGTTTCGTTCAGGATATTATTTCTGTAACATACGCACATTACACTAAGACTATCGAAACAAGTTTATGTAAATACCATAAATAGTAATTACAAAGAGCAGTTAGTTTCATTAAAACACTTAGGTGTAAACACTGATCAGAACAAAAGTACTGAAAGGTTTAAGCAGAACAGTGACCAACTGACCTGATCATCTTCACAATTTCCTTCCGTGGATGTAACTGGATTACTTGATTTGATATTACCATCATTAGATTTTGTCTGCATCGATTGAATAATAGAGCTATTATGCACGCTTAACTGTTGACCAGATTTATGTGTCGTTAAATTCCCTTGTGTATTAGTCGATAAACGAATTTTTGCTGCTGCCAGTTGAAGTACATCTGGAGTAGGTAGAGCATTCATCATAGCTGCAGAACGAGATGACCCAGTATTCGTGTCAGTATTCATATTGACACTACTAGTCACATTTGCTGACGTGTTAATACTTGCAGGCACAGACGAGGATAATAATGTCTCGGCCATAAGTTTATCGAAAGCTTCACAGAATTCAGTATCTTCAGGACATTCAATATATTTAGGCTTAACAGTATCATTTTGATACTGTTCATCGATATCTTTTTCTTCTGTTTTCTCCTTAAAGGCAATCAAAATACAAATATACATACATATACATAGATTATTACAGCTGAAAGATTCACACAGTGGAAAAATAACGAGGATTCCGTGGATAAAGCAGTTGCACACAGGCTGATGTCACCTGCAACTGCGTTTATGAATTTACGTGCACTTGCAGGAGCAAGTACATTGAAAGGACGGAAGGAAGGGCTTCTATCCAGTTTTCTGAACATATTCCAAGAAACCTGTGCCTGAAAGGAAGCAAATATTCTCAGAGTGCAATCACCAGATATACTGTTGATACCGGACATCTCGTAGAGATTTCTAAGTCCTTCAAAATATTAAATAAACAAAGGACGAAGCGATCGCAATCAAACAACTTAAACCAGACTTATGCATACAGAAAGAGAGTGTGATTAACCTCTCACTCCCTTGGTAACAGAATTTCGATTTTTGATCATCTAATTCAGTGATCTCAACTCACTGAACAAGTCTTAATCTCATAAACTCTAACCGCTTTTGTTTTTTGAGTTGCTATGTGAACCTACAAGCTAACACTGTTCTGTTAATCAATTTTTTCTGTTTTCTCTCTTACCCCTCCCTCTCTTTTCAACTTTAAAAGCGTATAAATTGATGATGAAAACTTAAACTAAACACATTGTAATGTTTTCATTTAGATGCGTCAATTTTATAGTATCTCTTCTCTACCACCACTCAAACATTAAAGTATGTTGTTATCATCTATATAACCGTTGTAATTTTAGGTAGTCTGCAGCTGATGAGAACCTGTGAAATAGAATGATATCATTTTATACTGCAAATTTCGTCTTCCTTTCTCTATCGAAATTTATCAAGGGAACCAAATGTATAAACCAAAGCTGTTATATTGTTTGTCTGTCTGTTTTCGACAGAGAACTTTGCACCGATGTGCGACAGTTCAAGTCGCCACACTCCCTCCTTGTAGCACACAAAGCAAGAGAAGAAAGTAGAAGAAATGCATAATAAAGACAGTAAACAGCTGTTATATTCAAATGAACTGTAGTCAAGATTTGACAGAATAGTTCTAAAATATTTCGGCGCCGATTAATTTCCCTGAAGAAGTTCGGACCAGATTTCCGAACGAAACGTTGGAATTACTCATTTCAATATCGCTGAGATTTCACAAATATAATTTTTCACAAATGTCTACTTCTCACTCGGTGCCCAAATATTTTAGAACCATTCTGTCAAATCTTGACTATAGTTCATTTGATTTATCTTACAATCGAATTAAATTAACAAAGAAAATATGTAACTGGCACAACCATCGTGTTTTCACTCCCCGTTATCTGCAACAGAATGTGTATCCTAAATCCATGGCTGTCCAGTCACCTGACAACTCCAGTAGGTCGAATAAATCAGCTCAAATTTCAGAAAGAAGACAAAGTAGTAAGTTTGACAGGGTGTTTCAACTAAACTCTAATCCTAAACACCATAATTTTGAAAATACGTCTAATCATAAAATTCTAGATACTAACAGTTTGAACAGACATTAAGGTGTGATGTTAGCTGACGCATAGGAAATCCTGATTCATACGTAAAAATGGATATGTATCACTAACTAATAATACTTGGTCAAAGTTCCTGACTGTCTATATCTACTTATGGAAACGTTAAGACATTGTTTTACAATTGTTTATCCGCACACACACACACACACACACACACACTGTGTTTAAAGTGTTTAACAAAGGTAGACCAATATTTGTAAGTCCGAGGTCAAAAAAAATTCTGATCATAGCTCATACAATTTTGTTTATTATACTTGTTAATACTTGTTTTATGACTCGTGTTTGGACAAAGTTTCTAAAAATAAGAGATGTTCCTTTTATATATAAACCTCTGTTATGTTAATTTCCATTAATTTCCCTGAAGAAGTTCGGAACAGATTGCCGAACACAAGAAACATTGGAATTATTCATTTCAATATCGCTGCGATTTTACAAATATAATTTTTTACAGCTGTTATATTATTGTTAAACATTAGTATTAATTTTCAACAGTTGATTTGTAAGGATTAGATTTATTTTTCGAGTATGACCAGAGATTCATATTAGTTAGAGAACTACTATTGAAAACCTCCAGGGAGTAACTACCTGCCCAGTACTCCCTGTGGTTGGTTTTTAATGGTTCGCTAACCGATGTCGATCCGTGGTCATACTCCAAAAAACAAATCTAATCCTTACAAATCAACCATTGAAAATTAATCTGATGTTCGCTAGTGACTTCCCGTAGGACCGAGTTTCCTAAAGTTCTACTAAAAGAAGTCGTGATCAGTGAGGTGCAGCATAAAGTCAGGAGTGAGGATAGATTTCCGGCTGATGATATTGGTTGGTGGTCATGCTAAATTCAACACAAATTGGTGGAAATTAGAATTCAAGAGACATTGGATCGGGTCCCATCAGCGGAATGATCGACGAGCTTGTCTTATAACCGAAAGGTCCTGAGTTCGAACATTGGTGGCGGGTGTGTACTACCGATGATTCTCAAAATAGGATGAAACAGCTATCCAATACTCTCTACTGGTTTTCAATGGTTGTCTAAATGATTACTATTAATGACAAATCCACAACGAAATCATTACCGCTATAATCATACAGATGACTTAACAGCTGTGCAGTTAATCGTCTTTCGTTTTCTCCAAGAATAAGAGAACTGTCTAGACAGCACTGTCTAGTTCAGCACTTTACCTCAACTCAACAAAAACCTGTGACAAGTAATAACATTCACAACAGGGTAACCGAAAAATACAGAATATTTTCATTATACAATAAGGTATTAAACAGTTGAACTTACTATACCATTCATCAATATCGGCTCAGTGTCATCCCCTTGACTCTGTCCACTATCAATACGACCACGACAACGATTACTACCACCATCGACTACGTCTATAAGATCAGTAGCAGGTTGACGATGACGTTGATTTCGACTATCATCTTCATCCCCAGCTTCTTCATCAGCTTCATCATCGTCATCTTCGTAAAAATCATCATCATCCATTGCATACTCATCTTCATCTAGTTGTAAATCACCTGTACAAATAATAGAAATACACATACACTGTAGTCTTGTTTTCAGAATCAGTGAACTACTTTATATGATTGGTGTTAGCTACTTACTGGTTTAGACATTGGTGAATGTGGTTATTATTACTACTCTATTATGATTAAGACACAAACATGGTACATTATGGGCATCGACAAATGTGTCACACAAAACGTTTGAGCGAGAGCTAGGAATACTGCCAGGGGCGTCTAGACTGACTAACGTAGGACATTGCACATATGTGCAACAGTTCAAGTTGCTCAGGTGAAGAGACTTAAGACAGACTAAAAGCAGTAGTGTGAGGGAAAAATAATAGTAATATGGAAGAATGATACAGCTTCATTGCATATAATAAATCACAAAGAGTAAATGCATCTGTGCTAGCCACTGTCAAAGATTTTCAGCCATATCACCCATTGTCTACAGTTGCCCTTGGTTTTTACCATTTCGAGGTGCACAACCAACCAGGAGTACACACACCTCCCTACGTGCCTGGCTGGCTGGCTAAAACTAACTGTTGTGGACTTTATTGGCTGATGAAGCCATCTTTTGGTTCGACCACCAATACCTTTTTTGCAACCTGATCTATCCTACGTCAGTCAGTTAACCTTGCCTATTGTCGAGGAAGGTGTTCAGTGATTAGGCTTGCATGCGTAACACATGTCCTAACCATCTCTCAATCGATGCATTTGTTTCACAACCTCGTCGACTTACTCTCCTTCCCGACTACCGAGCACTCGACCAATGCCTAACCTCAATATTGCTCACCTTATTATACCGCCTAACACAGGAGATAAAACGCAGAGACCTATGACCAAAGACAACTGGCAGGCCTTTTCATATCTTCCACTCTCAATAAACATGTCCCACTCACAGCCATAAACGAGGACGGACCGGACTACTGAGCAATACACCACGCCATTGGGTCGATAACCGGCTGGATATCCCGTCTACGGCACAGACAGGGTAAATTGGCATATACGAAACGAGCCTTCTGTATCTGTGATATCACGTAGGCAGCGACCCAGCCACTGGCGTTGGTTGAGGCAACTCTGCAATTAAGTGAACTCGTCAAATACACTCAGTCACCACTTCACCCCCACCTGTCTTTAAGCTAGGATTGAGTCAATGTAGTCCAGTTCTGCAGCATCATCTTACCAGAAGTTGACAGGAGCGAATCGCATGTCAAACATTCGAAGATTGTTGCCTCCCCCAAGGTACTCAGAAGACTCTGGATTCTTGACCTAAGGGGAAGGACTATATCATTCGCATATTCTAAGTCAACAAGACTATTCCCTGATAGAAACAATCAATCCCTGAGTAGCTGAAGTCTAGACTGAAGTAAACGGTTATCTTAAGCGATGCCCTCCTCAAGTCTTTGACTTGAAGTCTCATCACCCACAGGGCAGTGAATGGTTGACAGATTCATTCGACATTCAATTTGTTCGGATTCTGGAGTCCATGCACGCCATATTTTTAGAATTAGGATTTCCCAGTTACCCTAGGTAAACCTGCACGTCCACCAATCCGGTCGTATACACCAAACTTTCGCATTCATCCTTTCATTTTTAGTACGGCTACTGTTGTCGCGTGAATGCAGTGAACAGGAATTATCTGGAAGAGGCCGTTATGAGCATGAAGCCACATGAGGGCATTTTGAGAAGAAGAGCGAAGTGTACTCACCCTTAGCTGTAGCCCGGTTGTTGAGCAAATGAGCCCATAACTACAAAAGTATACCAACCGTTATATCTTAGACATGATTAAAGGTTGCATGGATAACACAGCAGAATTTAAACAGACAAACAGCATTGATAGAAGAGCCAATAACAGTAAAACAGCGAAGGAAAATATATGTGTGAGGACAAATACTCGCCACGAATGATATTCGCTAGTGGTCGCGCCACATCATGAGAACTGGATGAAGTTAGAATTCATGGACTGGCCAGTGGATCGGGTCCCAGTGACTTAATGGTCTACGAGTTCGCTATTCTTATGACCGGGTTCGAAACCCGCTGGGTGCGTACTGCTGAAAGGCCACAAACTAGGCTGACGAAGTAGCCTTTCAGTACTTCCAGGTTTCCCGATGGTTCTCTAACTGATGTCAGTTCATGATGAAATCCTGAAAACAATCAAATCCCTGCAAACCAACACTTGAAAAATATAAATAAAATCAAGTAAGTCTTGCATAAGCTTTATTATCCTAACCGATTTAACAACTGTAAGACAACGCCACGTGTTACTGAAATAATATGTCCAAGCGTTTGCCTAACAAAAGCACCACAAACATGCATTCAGCAACATGTGATAACATTCTGCAAGTATCTCTAAAGCAAGATTCCAAGAGTAATTTTAGACGAAACGATGAACGTGTTGCCATAAAATGCTGACAACGATCATCTATTGACGGTTTACTAGTAAAATTCACTGTAATGAAGTTATGGCCAGCCTAACTAACTACAAACAACTTGTTGAAACAATGATCAATTAGGTGCAAAGTAAGAATTAACAAATCAACCACTATAACTGTACACTTTGTAAAACATGGTGCAGTTAAGAAGTCAGTGAATGGTATTGGGTAGACCCAGCACATCCTGACTACACATAGAGTTTAATGGAGGTCAGAACCTGATTATTTAAATTATAATGTTGAGACGTCCATCTTTGGGGTGAGGAAAGCAGTCAATAATTCTACAGAATACTAACAGCTCGCCAAATCAGTAGATATCGAGCTTCTGTTTGATACAATGGCCCAATACATTAGAATCGAATGTCCTCCTGGTATCAAAAACGTGTAAATTTCGTGAATGTCAAACATTCTATTTCCTGAAGCTGTGTGAGTAGCCAATTTACTGGAGCCGAGCTGCCCTCGTAAATGACGTGGAACGGCTGACGGCGGATAGACTTCGATCTTCTCGAAGTGCTCTTATGCAACCATGCCTCCATAGCTTCTTCAGAGTGAGTTTTATACACTGCCTTCACGTGACGTGGGGTATTCTTCATAAAAGTGATAGAGAGAGAGAGAGAATACAAAAGTTTGGTGCATACAACCGGATTGGGTGAAGCTGGAAAACCCTGACTCTACACATGGTATACACGAGCTTCAGAATAAGAGCGGACAGGGATTGGAATGGAGTAGGAACCAGTTTAGGTCACCGGAAATCATGAGGATGCTTCTCCATTGCCTTGTGGATAGGAATTTCAGTGAAAGATCCGGGAAATGGCTGCTTAAGACAGACACCTGCTTCTGTCCGACAGTCCACCAGACAGTTTCTCATCCAGATTATCAAAGCGATGGTTCACAAACTTTTTGAAGTGACGCATAAACAGTGTTGATGCGAAAAATAATATGTGCAAAATAATTCATAGTAGGAACCATGTTAATGCATACCTATCGAGAATGAAACATTCCAGTTGTCTGAAGGTTGAAAACAAAAAGTAATTACCCACTCTGAGAATCAAATAAACTTACCGTCTTCTTGTTCAGCCTCTTCAGCAATCGCGTCCATATGACCTGGACCGATGGCTCGTAGTGACCTATTTTCAACAGCTGAGTGCTGCATTTGATCACCATTCGCCATACTTTCTGATTCATTCATCAGCCCATATGTAGCCTTAAGGGATGCAAGACGAGGCAAACAACGAGCCTCTAAATGACTAACAAGACGTTGGGCTTGTGCAAAATTTTTTGCTTTTGCAATATTCACATGTAATTCTTGCAAAGTTTCAAAATATTGTTGTTCTACTGCAATAGGAAAACGTATAGGAATAAAAGCAGGTAAGGGTGTTTGACTATCACCGGAGGGGTTATGCAGGTTGTCGTTCGATTGTTCTGTGGTAGCAGGTACCGATGAATCCCCAATTTGATTTGACACTTGTTCTGCAATAGATGAATCTGTCTTAACATTTTGACGATCATTTGCTGATTCATTTTGTGCTGATTTAGCAGACTGAGATACGGAATCATTATCCAACTGCACCCATATGGGAAGGGAACGTTTGAACCAATAGTAACGCTAATAGGGCAAAAACGTTAAGGGAAAAGGTCATAAACCAATCAGGCAATCAAATAAGACAAAACAAAGCAATTAGTGGTAAGAGTAGGAGGCGGGGAACGAACAAAACTACCGGAAAAAATCCTTGGGAAATGTGTCTACAGAAAGATTCTTTAGGGGAAGAATGCCGTCATAATGAAAGTTTAAAAATTGACAGTAATCTTTAAAAGTAACAAATTTATTGACATCATATAACAACAAATAGTAATATCATAAAAACTGAGATTTGATGCAAATCGGGAAAGTGCTATTCAAAACTACTTAAAACTGCATCCCCCGCCAACCGTTAATAATTTTATTTTAGTTGTATTCACATGATTACAAGTAGGTACATACAGTGTAAGACGCAAGCAACAGAAAAGGAAATAACCAGCATTTCAATTGAGAGACAAATAATTGATCTGCTGAGTTTCAACACAGAACTTTGCACACCACAGTAGCACGACAACACAAGCTGGCGCACTTCCAAGTAGCGTACACAGGTAGGGGAGAGAAAGAGAAAAAAGTCCAAAAGAACTACAGCGGACAGATTATGTAGAGGGGGGAGAGTAGTAACAAGGAAATGCATGAGAATTTATTGGATTTCAAAGGGATTACAAGGAGTGAATACGCATTTGAGCTATTGAGAACGATTTCCAGCCAGCCATATCACATTAACAGTTTCCAGCTATTGTTTTTTGGTGTCTTGAGGACTCCAACCAGACAGGACTACACCTTGCTACATGGTTGAAAACAACAATCAAAAAGCAACATGGATTGATGACAAGTTTTGATTTGCCGCTGATAACCTCGACAACAAATGAGAGAAACAGCTGTCCGGTTTTTGGATCACTTCAGTCTGGCTGCACCCAAGTACTACTGGTTGATGTGAATGATATACACCTACAAATCTTAATCAGTTACTGATAAATAGCTTCACACATGTACGCTTACTTTCTTGATTATCGTATATGCTATAAACCTGATCACATGGTGTGAGCTGAATAATTTTGGCTGTCAAAGGGAACTGTAGTGAAACCTCGCCTTGAACTGTGTAAATTGCAAATCCACTTTGTTAACTGAGAATCTGGTATGATTCTATTTCAGCTACCACTGCTCAACGCATGCCTAACACGTGCCCTAGCCATCTCAATCGACGTAGCCTCACAAGTTGCCCGATTGACTTGCTATTCATTCGAAACATACACTGTAACGCTGACTGTTACTGACTTCACATTGGAGTTGAAAATCCAGATCTTATCTTTGATTCTGAGTCCTGTTGACCTCCACACGGACTAAAGAGTAATGGAAGCTTGTCTTGCTTTTCCGATTCTCGCTTTGATGTCATCGTCAGTCCCGCTTGTAGTTGAAACGATGCTTCCCAGGTAGGTAGGCAGGTGAAGAAGGTTGTTTCTGTCAGGTTCCTCCCATCTATGCTGGCTGATTGTTGTCTGTTGTTGGTGGTGTTGGTGTTGGCCAGGAATCTTCATCACCTCTGTTTTATCTATGTTCACTTGAAGTCCTATCTTTGATGCTTCTTCTGCCAACTTGTTGCTTTTCATTTGCATATCTTCCAGTTTGTGGGAAATCAGACAGATATATCATCGGCGAATTCCGAATCCCCCCAAGTCTGTTTTTGTGTGGGTCCATTTTATGCCTGTTTCCTCATTGCCCACCGTCTGTTTCATTATCCAATCCACTGCAACCAGGAAAATCATTGGCGATAGTAGACAGCCAGCTTGCCTCACTCCCGTCCTCACTTCGAAGGATTCCGTAAGTTTCCCGTTTTGGATTACTTGGCATGCAGCATTGTCGTATAATTGTTGGATGAGATGTATAATTGTCGATGGGACCCCGTAGTAGCGAAGTAGTTGACAAATCACCTCTCGACGCTTTTTCAAAGTAGATGAAGTTGAGATAGAGAGGCGACTGCCATTCCAAGCTTTGTTCAATGATGATCCGTAGTGTGGCGATTCGATCAATAAATGACTTGTTTCCCCTGAATCCAGCCTGTTCCGGTCGAAGTTTTTCATCCAGGTTGGCGAGTTTGATTCTCTCCAGGATGATACAGCTTAGTATTTTGCTTGGGATGGACAGGAGCATAATTCCGCGCCAGCTTTGCATTGACTTAAGTCTCCTTTCTTTGGTAGTTTGAATAAGTATCCTTTCTTCCAACCCTCGGGTACTTTGCCCTCCTTCCACACCTTCCCTTGCAATGGCGTCACCAAGTCCGCTGTTGTCTCTGGGTCCCCTTTCAATGCTTCTTCCGGGATTCCATCTGGTCCTGCTGCTTTTCCAGCTTTTAGCATCTTGATTGCATTCAGGACTTCTGGTTTCGTCGGGGGGTCGATGTTCACTGGTAGTTCTGCTTCCGTCGTTGGTATTGTTGGGCGCGTTGTAGGTGACGGTCGATTTAGAAGTCTTTTGAAGTGTTCAAACCAGTGTTTTCTTCGCTCTACTTCTTTGGTGATTGACTTTCCATTGGCATCCTTCACTGGCTTGATTAGTGTTTAATTTTTTTCCCGGATAGGTGCCTATTTGTTTGGTAGAGTGTTGCAAGGTCTCCTTTGCCTGCAGCTTGTTCTGCATATACCATATTATACCCCTCAACTAAAGAACAACAACTATTTGAAACACTATCCTACTGATGATCAGTAGGCACCTATGATTTAACAATTAAAAATAATAGGCAGAGAGAACGAGAAATATAATAACTAGAAATTAACCAATTTACCTGGAAATAGATAAGGAAAATATTCAATTTACGCTTCTTTTTCCCACGATCAAAGTAACTCCCACATGTTCCAAGTAGTGTACAGATCAAAACAATCCTGAACAATGAATCTGGAGGATCAATGATACTTGGATAGTCAGCTAAATAAGGCACAGACAAAAAGGAAACACAAATTGTATGGTGTGTGATAATCTTGACGAAAAATATCAAAATTATTATTTGGAAAACAGATTTTTGCCCTTTAAAAACAACACAACAGTTTTTTATTCCTTTACGTTCCCAGTGGGATACAGGAGGCTTCAAAAGCTAGAGGCTTGAAGTTTCGGTAGCAGTGGTGTTTATTTTTACTGGGTAGGGGTGGCTAGCCTCATGTCCAGTTCAACCTTTCTTCTTTACCGGTCTTATTACCGGTTTACCTAGGTGGTAAAGGAGTGCATCGGCGAGGGATCGAAGCCCGGACAACATGCGTGGTTGTTGAGCTCTCTAACGCTAAGCCACCAGCACTAAAAAAACGCCAAAACACAACATACTTGTTAAAAATAGTAAGTTCTGTTTATTGAACCAGATGAAATTGAATTACGACACACTAATATGTGTGCGAAAAGCTATTAGCTATTCTATAGAGTTTTCTGCATACTATTTTCTTCATTCCCTGCGCTTCCGGTGGAGCATAAGGCTTCCACAAACTTTGATGTTTCATGGACAGTGGTGTCGTTTCATCGGCATGGGGTTGTTAACCTCATACCAAATCTTACATCTTCTCGAGGCTTACTGACACAGCTAAAAAGAGTAGGCGAAGTTTAGGAAGGCATCGGTGCGGAATAGAATTCGGACAACTTGCGTGGTTGATGAGCATGGAACTACCAACTGACACACTTTAACTTTTTACACATGAGTGACTGTGAGTAGTACCTGAACACAGAGACTCATAGGCTTTGATCATCTATTCAAATCCTTTCACAAACAGGTATGGAATTCACCTGAAAAACATCATTCATATTACAGATTTTATAGGATTCATTAATACAGAAATCTGGAGTTAGACTTCAGACTAGTTAGCTGTTCAACTTTCTTTCCATTCACGCATTAATTATTAGTTTTTCTCGACTGATTATTAAATACGTCGTTTATTCATCGAATACCTTTACACATTGGATATATGTCCTACTTTCCGATTACAGCCTTGACTATTTCATAACTTTGAAATGAACAATGAATACTATTATTGATATTAGAGAAGAATCCATTTTGGGTGACAGCAACTGCGACGATGATGGTATTTCCCCTTTCTTCTCTAAAATACTGGCCAGTTGGTTCCTCGAAAATTTCAGTGCTGACCAAATTTAGTGAAAACCTAGGTGCCTATAGCTTTCTGCACAGCTGTGTACATCTGATCAATATCATATCTGATGAACATATGAGATTAGATAGTCACTTTAGTCATCAAAATGATGACAAATTCGTGTACAACAACCAAGGCCATGTCCACCCTGTGGGTTTAGGTTCGAATTCCACTCCGGACACGACTTCAGTGCGTAGGTGGTTCGATGGTAGAATGCTCGGCAATGACGCATGTGGCCCAGGATTCAACTCCCCACTAACTCACTTCTAATCCTTCGCTCAGTCGGCAGTAAGCTCAGAAAAGAGGGAAGGCTGGGAGTGAGACTAGCAATCCAATTAAGTAAAAACAAAACCACCGCTGCTGACACTTTGAAACTCTAGCTTGAAGCCTAATGTCCCACTCAGAACACAAAGGAACGAAAATGAATGAGGTTAGGGGCTGAAAATATCACCATATGTGTCTAGTAGTGGTGAAACATCTACAGTAAACAAGCTAAGTTACAAATCCCTAATACAAATTGTGGTATTTTCATTAAGAACAAACCCTATGAAGAATAAATAACAGTCTAGTGAAGTTAAAAAACATGCCTCGGACATATCAGTCAATACACCATATTCAATTGGTTAACTTACGATCCAAACTGACACCGAATGTGAGAAGTGAGTAGAGCGTTTTAAAGATGACTGGTGAATCCACCAGACAGTAAGCGTACAACAAACCAAGGTATTTAACCATGACAATTCGACGTTGATTCAAATTTGGTAGGTTAAGCTGAGCACAAAAAAAGAAGTGAGTTGTAGTAAAAAGCAATTAGAACAAGTGAAATCTCTAGAGAGTATATGTATAAAATCGGATGAATATTCCAAATGAGGGCCTCGTGCAATCTGAAAAGTCAACTGTGATTTATTATGATCATAGCTAGTGAGTGATCCATCTCACCTATATATAACGTATCGACTGAAAACACATGACAAGTAGACTTCTTTTCATGCAGTTACAGTAAAACAAATTCAAATGAAGTTTTGATGGCAAACGCTAGCTTGAACGCTGATCTAACTGATCAGTACAATACAGTACATTAAAGTACACAGTGAAGAATTTACTTTCATAAAGTAATTGAAAAATCTGAAAATTTTCATTTGAAACATATATAACTTACTATAGTTTGGTTTGTAAGGGTTAGTTATGTTTTTAAGAGTTGATCACGGATTGATATCAGTTAGAGAACCATTGAAAACTAGGGAGTACTGGACAACTGCTATTTCATCCTAGTTTGAGAATCATCGAAAGTACACACCCACCACCAGAGTTCGAACCCAGGACCTTCCCGGTTACAAGGCAAGCTAGCTCCGTATACCATTCAGCCACTGGGACCCGATTCAATGGCTCATAAATTCTAACCTCTACCAATTCGTGATTTAGCGCGACCCCTACCAGACTACCCCTACTAGACTTCTCACTAGAACTCAGAAAACTCCAACTTGTAGCAAGTCACTAGCGAGCATCAGATTAATTTTCTATAGTTTGGTTTGTAAGGGTTAGTTATGTCCCACCAACGACAATGGTTGGGGTCGCGCTAAATCACGAATTGGCAGAAGTTAGAATTCATGAGCCATTGAATCGGGTCCCAGTGGCTGAATGGTATGCGAGCTAGCTTGCCTTGTAACCGGAAGGTCCTGGGTTCGAATCCCGGTGGGTGCGTACTGCCGATGATTCTCAAACTAGGATGAAACAGCAGCTGTCCAGTACTCCCTAGTTTTCAACGGTTCTCTAACTGATATCAATACGTGATCAACTCGTAAAAATATATAACTTAGTTGATATAAGAATAGAACTTGTGCACTGTAGTGGAGTATAATTCCATTGTGGACAAAATGTATTGTGATAAAGTCTCACAGTGTTATACAGTAATAATAATCACTGATGAAGACGTTTCGAGCACAATTTATTACTAATAATCATATCAAGGGACCCATTACCCAATGAAATCCACAACAGTTGGTCTAAGCCATGTAGGAAGGTGTAGACTTCCTGACTGGTTGGGTTCCTCGGGACGGTAAAAACCAATCGTTGGAAACTATTGGTGATATGGCTCAAAATCGTTCTCAATGGCTAGCGCAGATGCATCCACTCCTTGTGACTTGTGATTTCCAATGAAACTACATTGCTCTTCGTTACTTCTATTTTTTTTTGTCTCACACCTCTGTTTACTGTCTCTATTAGGCATTTCTTCTACTTTCTTCTCTTGATTTGTGTGCTACATGGAGGGAGTGTGACGACTTGAACTGCCGCGCGTTTGTACAAAGTTCTATGTCGAAAACAGACAGACAGACATCACCCAAAACAATAATCTAGAAAAACACATTCGTGATGACAAATCGCCATAATTTGAAATATTTCCGATATCTGGCTTCCTAATGCTTGGAGGAAAACATCAATAATTTATTAGTCCATTATGAATCTAGTCACAATAGCACGGACAGACGTTAAGAATGTGCATGGTCTTTCTACTTAGCACAGATCTTTTTAAGCACACTCATACAAAGTTTTATAATGTAGTTGTAATTAAGTTAGCAAACTAAGTGAATACTAATCGAAAATATATGTATATATATGCCACATTTTCACAGGAATTTCAGAAAGATGCTTCTAGAATGACAGTTAAAAACGAGTTGATTGATTTAAAGAAACTATCTAATACGTTTAAAAGCAATTAGTGACTAATATTCAGATGGATGAGTATTAAGTTAAATCACTTAGCTCATAGTTTTTTTTCATTATTCTTCGTATATTTACGATGTGACTTATGTGACCACGACCACTTTTCAGCCATATCACCTTATGCATCACAAGCTCAGCTTAACTTACTTTCTTTTCACCATTTGTATATCAGTCAATAATCGCCTAAAAAATCTTTGATAACCAGGACGAGAATCCATAAGACAGGAAAATGGTCAACAATCTCCGAATATATAATTCAAACTATAATAATTTGGGTTGGCTTCAAGTTCGATTACTTAAAGAACTATTAAAAACCAGGGACTATCAGACAGTCGTTTCGTAGTAGTAGAGGACTCTTCAGCAATATGTACCTAAAACTCTCACGTTATCATCAGGTCACTGGGACGAAGAGTTCAGTAACCCGAAAATTCCTACTTCTGTCAGTTCGCTACTTTCTTAGCACCACTATCGGCCAATATCATCGACGAGTATTTGTCCACATAACTGACTTGGTGGACTCACTAGAACTCCGAGCAACTTTGTCCTATATTCAGTCACCAGTGAGAAACGTATCGAATTCCGAGTGCCAGTTTCTAGGGATTTGATTGATTTCAAGTATGATTACAGACTGATTCCGTCCCAGTGGATGAACGGTTAGTGAGCTCACCTCGTAACTCAAAGATTCTGCGTTTAGTCTCTGGTAGTAGAGTTGTGGGTGAATATTGATGGAAACCTGAATGAGATAGCTGTCTAGCACTTCCTAGCTTTCAATATTTTTTCCAACTCATAGCCATCTGTGGTTAAACTTGAAACCAATCAAATCCCTTCAAACTAACACTTAAGAATATGATCATTTACTTTAGGGTATGCTATCATCACTTTAAAATACATACATACATACATGTTTTCCAGTAAGAGAGATAAACGACTCAACTAACCTCCATTCCCATACGAATATCTTCAATGACGTTATCTACAATAATTGTCGCAAAGTCTGGATGGTAGACAGCTAGTCCAGATAACACGCTGGATAAACAATTAATGTTAGTAAAACGTATCTCCCATGCTCTAGTAAAAAGACTGGACACATAGTCAACAAGCTAAATAAAAATTTTGAGGAAAGAATACAGTAAATTAATCAGGTGAAATGTTGAGAATAAAAAAACATCTTATCACAAATTAGACATGCATTACGGGAAAATTTTTGTTTTGATAAAATCTCACAGTGTTATACAGTAATGTTTACTGATGACGTTTCGAGAACAATTTATTACTTCTTATAATCATATCAAGGTACTCACACGACTTCCTAACTTCATTTATATAGTTCCATTGTTTTTTCACTTGATTTGATTGGCAGTAGTATTTTTCATATTTCAGGTATGACTGATGAATCATTCCTGTTGCATGTGTTCGGTGTAGACTCGATGAACCAGGCAGGATTCAGTAATCCACCTCTATCTCTCTCCACCTATCTAGATTACTTCCTAGAATTTTAACCCTCTCCCACCCTATTGTGTCGTTGTGTGTTAATGCATGCATTGCAATTGCTGAGCTTTTTTCTAAATTACTTATCTTTTCAGGGTCAACCATTCTTACCCTAGCTAAATTCTTATGTTCTGACAATCTGACTACCCCTGACCTACTACTAGTTTGACCTATGTAGTTGACCTCACAGTCATTGCATGGTATTTTGTAAATTATATTATTTTGTCTAATTGGATCAACTGGATCCTTTAACCTACACAGCTTGTCCCTGAGTGAATTTGTAGGTTTAAATGCCACCCTAATTCCTATTTTATTCAGAATCCTACGTAGTGTCTCAGATGTCCCCTCTTTATATGGTATAACTTTAGATGACTTATATTCTCTCTTATTTATGTTATTATTACTAGTTTCACAATTACTTTCATTTTTCGTTTGGCCTTTTTTGATCTTCCTGATGAATTTTACAGGATAGTTAGTTATTTAACACCAAAGCCTCTTCTATCTGTTTTATTTCAACATTTAGGTCTTTTCTTGTGCTACTTAGTGCTACTGCTCGGTTTGTTAAACACTTAACTAAGCCTGCCTTAACAGTTAACCCATAATGGAATTATACTCTACCACAGTGCGCAAGTTTTATTCTTATACCAATTAGACATGCACTTTATGCCTTGCAAATGCGTAGGTGGTTCAGCGGTAGAATGCTTGCTCACCGACCACGCGTGTGGTCCGGAGTTCCACATTTGGAAAGATCAGAAATATTACAAAAAACACAAGTTAAGTGTGTATATGTGCACACTAAGCAGGTGTCCACAATCTCACAAATCAATTTTAAGAGCTTTTGATTTTTTTTAGTTATGTGTGGAGTGAATTGAGAATAGAGTTTGAACCTTTGAGTTCATTAATGTAAATAATATTGATTGCCCAAGTGCATCATTCACTAGCTTACAGACTGTCTGTCCTTCAACGAAATCGTGCTTGTGAAAAAAAAGAGTGGTTATGACGTTTACAGAACTTGAAATGAAATAGATCTTGAGATGTCTCAAGTGATCATCATCCGAGGACTGAATCTCAAGATGCTGAGTGAAACTCATTTACCAATCTGAGACAACGAACAAACAGAAAAATTAATTCATTGCTAAAAAGACTCAGCTTAAAAGGATTGTAATGATGCGTAAACGATACCAATGAAAGTACCATGAAAGAAGAATACAGAGAATCAAGTAAAGATCATAAAATGCAAAAGGTTTCAGAAGACAGACTGTAGGAACAGAGCTTCATTGATTGTAGATTCCTATGAAACAGCATATAGTTTTGTTTATTTTAAAAAGACGAACATCGATAGGATAAAACATTTTCATGCACATACAACATACAGGTGAAGTGGTACTTTTCTAAAGAATATCAGAGAATAATTTCTCCTAGTCTTCGTTTGCGAAACATTTGGTACGAAGGATTTATCCGTGCAGTATATATATATATATATATATATATATATCTTTCGAATGTTTTTAAAACGACTTAGAAATGAGAAACCAGATGAAATAGGATCATTTTCCACTGTCTGAGGTACTATAATGCGTCATCGACTCGAAAGTAAAGAATGCATCAATATTCCGAAATAGAATCACATAAAATGTTATAGTTGATCTCAACCTGATTAAATCGCCTGATGGAATAATTGGTAATTCGATAGAACACTGACTGATTCCCTTACACAGCTAACTAGAATCTGGGTGGTGTTGGTGAATGTATGGCCAATAAATGGCACCTTGAAAGGTTGATCAGACTTTTATATTGTGATGAACTAATAGGCTACATTGGCTGGAATTAATGTTCCTGTAGGTCCTAACAAGCCAGAAAGGTCGTTTGGACAGCTGTTAGATTACAGGCAGTTACCGTAGTGGCATAGGCTGTTTATACCATGTTGGGGTTCTGTGAGCGAAGTCACATGCTGCTGGGGAACAGGGATGTGACAGCAACAAGGTGTTTCCTCGAGATGATCAGTGTGGCAGTTATGCTGCCTCTCCAATGTGGAGAGGTGGAATTAGAAAAGGTTGGTTCCGAAAATAGGATATGCCTGTTTTACCTTGAGGCGGTCCGTAGCCGGCAGTAACATTTCAACACTGAGGCAACGCCAAAAACCACCTCAAACAGGCTATCTGACTCGTCTCAAGCAGTTGACCCTTGATGTCTGTGGTCAGGTTCTACCTTCTGTTTCCCGTACCTCTGGACGAAATCAACTTCCATGGTGTGAGCACCCGGAAAGTAATGACTACCCCGACACACTTCCACTGACGAAAAAGCTTTCTTGAACATCATCCTGCTTTCATCTCACAATCGCGTATCAATGATTCAACTCTCTGAGTAGAATTAGTAAAACTGAGGTAATGAAAGACCTTATTCTCACACGAATGATAAAATGGTCCACTGTTGTTTGTATGGCTTTGATTTGTTTACCAAGCATTACTGTCTGAATTTATGTAGCTTCATCAAATTCTCCACTGATAATTACATTTTAAACCATCATTTCTTACTCAAGTTTTGAACTCACTGTGCAAAAGGGGCGGGGTGTTTAGAAAAAATGAAATGAATTCAACTTATCACACAATGTTTGTTCTTATTGCTTCACAAAAATCATACTGTATTACCTTTTCATAGCATATACACAAATCCATAATCACATGAAAGGAAGAAGCGAACTCTTGATGGGAGAAACGCGCAGACTTACTTCTTGATCCTCCCAATCCATCTTTCGAACTAATCGAAGGACAGAATTGACATTGGTACGATCTAATGTTGTTAGCAAAGTATGACGCAAAAACGCCATTTCAGGTGACAGCTTTATTGGTTCAACAATCTGAAACAATAAGGAGCAGAAGAAGAAGAAGAATAGCAAAACTTACAGAAAAAAGAAACTAAAACAAATATAGGAATAATAAATGAATTATGTACTTTAGGCACACGGCATACACTCATTTACCTGATAGACACGCCACGAGTACATGCAATAAGTCTTTCCTTATTTCAAGCTTGACTCAGGAACACTGATATAATAATAATAGTAGTAATAATCAACACAGGATTGATCACAAGCTGACGCCAGTTGGAGAACCGTTGCAAAACCTGCGAGTACTGGACAGCTGTTTCACCAACCTAGTCTAGGACTCTTCATCAGTACGCACCCACCGGGGGTTCGGAACCACGACCTTCTAGTTACAAGACGAGATCGTAGACCATTCAGCTGTTGGGACCCGACTCAATGGCCCATGAATTCTAACTTCTAGTAGTACTTTGCTAAAGAACACCACAGAATCCACGACTTCTCACTAGAAGTGGGGATAAATATTCGCCAATGACATTCATTAATGGTCTCGACATATCGTGAATTGACAGAAGTTGGAATTCATGAGCCACTGAGTTGGATCCCAACGGTTGAATAGTCTACGAGGTTTCCTTGTTACTGGAAGGTCCTGGGTTTGAACTCCCGCGTACCGACCAAGAGCCCCAAACTTGGAAGGAACAGCTAACTAGTACTCCCAGGTTTTCCAGTGGTTCTCCAAATGATGGCAGCTCATGACGAAATCTTGTGACCCGTTAAATCCGTACAAACCAACACTTTAATATGTGTAATAATAATTCTAGTTATAATCTACTGTTTATTTACAGATGAAAAAGTAGATATACATGCTCTCTTTTCACATTTGTCCAGTTTGATTGAACACTAGTTAGTAACTATTGTAAATCTATCTAGTCCTTTGTTTGGTTCAGACTGAATTCTGTCAGTCAAGTATGAAACCTAGGTCCAAGGCTTCCTCCTGCCGATGGCCTCCAACTATTTGTTATCAACAATTCACTGTACCACCTAGCACGCTTGCGGTCACATTGCAAACTTGACTGATAGAATTCAGTCTATACCAAACAAAGGACTAGACACATCCCACTAGTTACTTACTGCCTAGTGTTCAATCCAAGTATCTAATGCAATCCTAGAGGAGGTCAATCACGAGACCGAATAGCTTAGTATTAACGTGTCTAACTGTAGCATTGGGTGACCTCGGTTTGAATCTCAAGAGGGACAAAAGTTCCGAAAAGGTTACAGATAAGCTTTGCTGACTGTCGGGTGTGAATTAGCACGAAACCTAGATCTAAGGCTTCTTGCCGACTGCCTCCAACTATCCAATAATTGTGTCCTGCACACGACACCTGTACTAAATATGGCATAGTTCAATTTTCATATTTTGTTGCAAGAGGATAAATTCTTATGAAATGTCTGCTGACTTTAACCCACAAGAAATACATGGAGAAATCTACGAATAAAGAGGGTTTCCGACATCAAACAAGATGACTTTAGCCAACTGCTTGCAAAAATCAAAATGCCTATCAACAACACTTAGTCAGTTAGTTGAATCAGTCTTCAATGTTCTACATAATATGATATCATTTTTCTTTAGAAGCCCGGGACACAATAAAGCAGAATGCGTAGAATACATCAATTAATAAATTGTAAGAGAAGAGGTTGCGTTATGCCTTAGGTAATAAGTCAACCAATATATTTTCTTAGACACTAACATGAGACGACTACCAACAAAGATTTGAAGAGAAACTAATACGAAGATAGGTCATATTCGGCTTATTTTCTACCACAGTGCAATCGATATTACAAAAACCAACGGGACTGAACCAATCCGCGCAAGTCTTGTTCACATTTACAGGGATTCGGTTAAAGACCATTTCAGTAGGACCATCAATTAACTTCAGGTAAGAAACTATTCGTGCGTCGGTGTGGCATAGAGGTTAGGACGCTCGCCGACCATGCACATGGTCCGGGGTTTGATCCACGGCCACAGACGCACTCCTTCAATTCGCTAAGCCAGAAATAATGCTGTTAAAGAAGAAAGGTTGGACATGAGGCTAGCAACCCATCCTGTAAAATAAACGCTGCTACAGAAACTTCAAGCCACTAGCTTCGAGGCCTATGTTCCACTGGGGAACGTGAAGAGGAAAAAAAAGAAACTATTCACATCAGGACAATTCAGTACAGAAACAACTGAGACAGAAGTTGTCAGATCATCTGAAATTCTACTTAAGTCCCCATGTAACTGATAAGAAGTGGTTAAAACCGGGATTCAGTCATTTGCCGCTGAAGCAGTTAAGTTTTGAATCAAATTTGCCTAAACTACATTTACCCTCATACTAAATCTACAACCAGTCAAATCGGCTATTTACCCGACAAGATTGGCTTCATTTTTTAAGTATTGGTAATGTATACATATACACAGAAGATTTTGGTCAAATGAAGTTGTTGTTTTCATTGGGCACAGACCAATCTTGTCTTATTAACTGATGAAACCTGTTTTTATAGGATGTTCATTGTGACTAAATGATAAGACAAGCAACAGTATTCCGCAGAGTCTTCTGAACACCTTGAGCCGCAATCTACGAATGTTTGGCATGCGATTCGCTCCCGCCAAATTCAAGATGATGTTACAGGACTGGACTACATCGACGCCTAGTTTAAAAATAGGAAGTGAAGTGGTAGAGCACGTTGACCGCTTCACTTATTTGGGAAGTACCATCAGTCCGTGCCAACGGGTTGATCTCTGACGAAATCTCAGCACGGATACAGGGGGCTCGTTTCGCATTTGCCAGTTTACGCCGTCTCTGGAATAGACGAGATGTTCGACTATCGACCAAAGGACGGGTGTACTGCTCATCAGTCCGTTCCGTCCTCCTTTATGGCTGTGAGCGAGACCTGGCCATTGAGAGTGGAAGACATGAGAAGACTAGCTATCTTTGATCCTAGGTGCCTGCGCTCTATTTCCCGTGTGAGGTGTTATAATAAGGTGAGCAATATTGAGGTTGGGCATCGGTCAAGTGCTAGGTAAGGAGGGGAAATCGATCGATGAGGCTGTGAAATTACATCGACTGAGATGGTTAGGACATGTGTTACGTATGCCAAGCCATCGATCGCCTCCCTCGACGAGAAATGTTAGCGGATATAGGGTCAGGCTGGAAAAAAGCTAGCGGCGGTCAAACCAAAACATGGCTTCACCAGTCAATGAAATCCACAACAGTTGGTCTAAGCCATGTAGGAAGGTGTAGACTTCCTGACTGGTTGGGTTCCTCGGGACGGTAAAAATCTATGGTTTGAAACTATTGGTGACATGGTTCAAAATCGTTCTGAATGACTGGCTTGGATGCATCCACTCCTTGTGACTTGTGATTTCCAATGAAACTACATTGCTCTTCGTTACTTCTATTTTTTTTGTCTCACACCTCTGTTTACTGTCTCTATTAGGCATTTCTTCTACTTTCTTCTCTTGATTTGTGTGCTACATGGAGGGAGTGTGACGACTTGAACTTCCGCACATTTGTGGAAAGTTCTATGTCGAAAACAGACAGACAGACAGACTTCATATCACTGCAAAATCAATTACCTGACGATCAGTTGACGGTGGATTACAATAATAATAAGTATTCTCAATCATAATTGAATAACGTTGATCCATGTGTAAGGCAATTTTCTTTCTAAGCATTACTTCTAAATAAACTTTTGTACGTTTATGCGATAAAGGCAGCCGATAGAGGAAACGTCCACATGTATCTAACAGGGCGCATGCCATATCAATATTATGATGTACAAATTGTGGTAATAGCTGTTTCAAGCAGGTTAACGCTTGATGAGCTGGATAAACACTGAATTTTACAAGTTCACCTAAAATGGAAACGGAAAGTAAATTATTTATCTATTTGTAAACTGAGCACACATAAGCAATCACTTGTAATAAGTACTGTTTATAAAGAAAACAGTAGGTGTATTGAAATCCAATCATAAATTGTACAAGTGAATCACAGTTCAACTCTATTTGCGCTGTGATATAATACGGAGAATAATATTGAGGTTAGACGTAGAGTATTAGTTAGAGAGGGAGAACTCAGTCGATGAGATTGCAAAGCTAAATCAATTGAGATGGCTAGGACATGCGCTACACATATGTCTAACCATAGCCTTCCTTGGCAAGCAATCTCAGCTGACATAGGAACAGATTGGAAAAGAGTTAGAGATGGTCAAATCAAAAAAATGACATCATTCTATGAAGTCTTCAGTCATTAGTTTGGGTCACAATGGAAGGTGTCAAGTGGCCGGTATGGGGTCGTCGAGACGCGACGATCCAACGTCTGCAGCCTATTGATGAGATGGCTCCAAATCATTCTCATTGCCACACATTTATTCGATCATTATGAACTTCCTGACAGATTAAGTTGTAATTATTCGCCATGTACTTATTCTGTCTTCTATACATTTCTTCCCTCCGTATATGCATGCTTATGAAGTGCGACAACTTGCAATTTACGTCAGCAATTCAATTCAAGTGATTTCAAAACTCTGACATCTACATAGCACGTCCTCCACGTAGCCTCTACCAGGTAATTCCCATTCACTGTTTTCACGTGGTGGGAGTATTCCACACAAAAGTGAAAGAGTAAATCCGAACCTCTGGTAGACATTAAAGTCTACTACTCAGGGGGACTGGGGAAACTTTGACTCCAAACACACAGTGTACATGGGCTTCAGAATCGATCAAATGTCGTGTGAACCCGTTTAGGTCACCGTCAAACATGGGAACACAGCTTCTGACGCTGCTCCACACACACACACACACACACACACTTAAAGTTAATGGCCCGAGAAGGGCGACCCTTCAACTCTAGACAACTATATGCTTCAGTCTAGATGTTCGATCAGTATCTCAGACCTAGTACAAACTCTGGGACTTTGTGCGGTGCCTCTCTCGGTGCCGATAATGTGCTAAGTTCCTGTTTTAATAACAATAGTAATACATCAATTTTAAATCAATATACGTTCAAAGTACAATCAATCATCAGAATTGTGATCAAGACTCAAAGTTTAACTGATCTGAGTTCAACTTTAACTCTAACGGTAGGTTCTCGGAAAGCTGATCATAAGTTAAAAAATCACTGAATTGACGATCTGATTTCTTGAAAGTTACAAGTTTATCACAAAGGAGGACAAAATCAGAAATACACAAAATAATGCAAAAATCGAATGAGAGAATTGTAGTTTAATAAAATGACACTTCAGCACACACTCATAAATATTTCAATTAAACCTAAGAAAATAACAGTAAGATGCCATTATAAAACATACCGATAAATCGAACCACTTTCAGCTTGGATTCAATATTTATCTGATCACGCTTGGCAACACGCCAACGGAATTCTGCTGTCAGCATAGAATTAATATCCTGGACTAAGTCAGGCATTACAGGTGCTAGTGCAGCTACAAACCGTGCATAGAACGGTAATAAATCATAACGTGTTCTTGGAACATTAAATAAAGCTTTTGCAAGGCGTCGACGATTTGCACGTTTATTTAAATTCAAACAAAAATCTATAGCTGCCTAGAAATGAAACACGGTAAGCAGAATATTTATTATTCATGATAAGATTAAGAACTTATTAGGTAAATGAAATGACCTTTAATCAACTGTATTCTAACATAAATGTAAACCAATAATTATTCCCTTTGTTTCCGAATGGAACATAGTGTAACAACAAAAGACAAGGGCTGGCAACAGATCCTTTTATTACGGAAATCAACACGTATTTATATCTATTCCCTGTACATTATTATAGCTTATTCAAGTAGACAAACGCAGTCTTCTGATTGCCCGTTTCTGGTTCCTCGGAAAGTTAGGCAGACAAACGCAGTCTTCTGATTGGTTGTTTTCGGGTTTCTCGGAAAGTGAGGCCACCTATCTGCGAATCTTATTTGCCCACGTTAAGTCTGCTGCGATTGGTTGTTGAATCAGCCTTGTTCATATTTTCTCACAGCCAATATTAGTGACCTAGACATTGACGTAGATTAATGTCTACCAATTGGCTAGCAGCCTTCTCTCACCACAATAGGGCTTCAATAGCACATCGCCATTTCATCCTCCTGTTTGCAGTTGTTTTTACCTGACCCCACAATTGCCAATAAGCTTTCATTCCCCCTTGGTAACAAGTTATCCACCATGGCAGCCTCGGACGATCAATTTGTCGTTTCCCATTCTGATTCCACCCCCCCCCCAACCTTTTTACTAACCGGGAAAAGAAGGAAGGTTGGGCGTGGAGCTAGCTACCTTTCTCCGGAAAATCAGTTCAATCATTGTAGAGTTACACAATAGCACTGCTAACAGAAAAACTTGTAAATGCCCTACCGTCGGAAAAATATATACCGTGTCAGAATTTTATCTCTACTAACACAACGCTAACAATGGAGAAGTTTAGCTAGATTCACTGTTGTTTCAATGTGAACCAAAGAGAAATGATAAATGAAAGCAAACAGATTGTAAATTTTCACAGGAAACAACGTGTAAAACCTTACAATTAGATCTATTTACAAGGCGATTAAGCTATTTAAGTTACTACCACCCTAGGGTATTTTCCCGCCGCTGTTAAATTATTTTATACACTGCATTTCTTAGTATTCATTTCGCTTTCAATGTATATCATAATAAAGCAATACATCCCTATTTCTGTTTTCGGATACCTGTTGAAATTAATAACCACGAAGTCTGCTGAATAGACACGTATCTTGAATCATGAATACATGAATTCCGTGTATGTGTACGCCACTAGTTCAGTGTGAGGAAACTGTCAACCAGGCGAGTGGTCTGGCGTTTGATTCTAGGTCAATGCACCACTAGACCTCACTTAGTAAGTACCAAGACCGATAAAGTCGAAATGCTGATGATTGTGACATCACCGACAGCAGTCAGTAAAAAGACGTCCTCACACCGCTAGTGAAACTACAAAGCTTACGCTTCAAGTCCTACGTTCCACTCGGAACGCAAAGGGGTGGATAGAATTCAGTACATAACTAAGAGACACACATAAATGTTGTTTCCATATGTAATTTCACTTACTCTATCGATAAGATCACGATTAATACAGTTTGGCAGCTGAGTCAAAAATGTCTCCATGAGAACTCTACCCGATGAATTTGGATCTTCTTCACCAACTAAATAACAGAAAGGAAAAAAAGAAATAACACCAAAAAACTAGAGAAAATATTGACAAGGAAACCACCAAGCCTGGCAGAGCACATGTAAGGCAGGAAATAAAAAACAAGAAAACTAGAACACATATTGCAGTGAATCGTTGGACCTGTTACTCATTGAAGTGTTGAACTAAGCTGAGCATTAAAGAAAATGCGAAACGTCCTAGTTGTGAACAACTGATTCTTAGTTCTTAGTGCTTTTTTCTCCATTTTTAATTTAGCTTTATAATAATAATATTAATTATTATTATTATTATTATATCCTTTAATTCCTAGAGGAACATAGGGCCTCAGCTGCGCGTCTCAATTGCCTTCGGTTTTCTGCCAACTTTTTCACCCCGCTCCAAGTCTGCCCACATGCTTTCATCTCCTCTTCACATGGCCTCCTCCAAGTCACCCCACCTTTGCACTGACGACCAACTCTCCGCTTCCCATTCGGGTTCCACTCGAGCGATGGCTTGTCTAGTGATGTCACTTGATGGTTTCCTCAGACTATGGCCAGCCAATCCATCTCCATTTCTTCCTGCCTATTTGTTTCACAATCGGTTCCTGCTGTGTTGGTTCGCTCAATGCCGGAGATCCCTATTCCTGATCTTTTCTGGCCGGCCGTCTGATCGTGAGTATTGAGCGAAGACAGCTAACTGTTAATGAAGGTGTGAAGTTTGTTTGAGAAGCTCTTTATGACGCGCTGGTCAAGTCTCTGATCCGTATAGTAAGTAGCACTGACTGACTTCACATTGGAGTTGAAAATCCGGATCTTATTTTTGATGGTGAGTCCAGTTGACCTCCACACAGACTTAAGAGTAATGAAAGCTTGTCTTGCTTTTCCGATTCTCGCTTTGATGTCCTCGTCAGTTCCGCCTGTAGTTGCAACGATAATACAAACGATAAAAATATACACCTGAATATTCTCCAGTAAACAATTACTGAATCACAACAGACAAAACATACCATCATCAATGTTCAAAATGGACGGTTTAGTTTTATCAGGCACTGATGATCCATTCAACGATTCATTGCTATCATCGGATACTTTAATCAGCGCTTCTTCTTTGGCCAACTCTGATTCAACTGTATCAATGTCGATATCTAAAAAGCGAATGAAGAAAAAACCGAAAAGGAAGTTGTGACATTCCATTCATAAAAGGAATATGTAACTCAACTGTATTTAAAGCAAATGCAAAAGACAATTTGTAGATTATTATGAGGTATTGCGATTGTTCATGAGTAAACTGCTCGCCAGCTGCGCATGAGCTCTGCGGTTCGATTCCCGCCCCGTCGATACACTCCTAAACTTCATCTAACCAGTAGTAAACCCGGAAAAGAGGAGAGGTTGGACGTCAGGCTAGCGCCCCCACCCCACGAAAAAGCACCAGCAATTATTGAAACTCCAAAGTTTAAGGACTGGAGCTTTGCGTTCCACTCAGGACGCACCAAAAATAATGAGATGACTTCACTCTATGCACAAATAAACCAAGAGTCAAATAACAGATTTGTTATTGATTTTTATGTGTCTTATTCATTGATTCCAACCAACCATTTTTACTAAATAACTCACCTTAACTGCTTATTGTGATCTATGTAGTTCAAAGGGAGCTGACAGAGTTTCTTGTTTCTAAAACATCCTTGATCTTACGAAGAAGGAAGGATGGAGCCATTCGATAGATGTAACATCCTAGTTGCCATGCGTTTACAGAACCAACTGATTTAGTTTTCCTTGTAAATTACATATGGTTCATACAGTAACCCTACTCAGAAACACTTATAAATAAGCGATATTTACTGTAGAATACAGAAAGACATTACAAACTCGACCCTAGAAACAAGTCCTACATGTCCCAAAGTATAAGCCACACTCAATCAATATATGAAGATTGATAATACTATCCAGTGGTCCAGATAGAAGTAGGTGAAGCAGAACTCGAACTCCGAACCCATGGACTAAAAGTCAAGTGCCTAAAAAAGAAATGAGCCACGTCTCTACTGTCATTGCAACTGTGAATTAAGTTAGAAGTCACTAACTGTCTGTGAAAATGTAATAATTTTTTACAGGATGTCTAACAACAAGCCTAGATAATAGCTTATGTACCAGAAATCAGAAGACAACGCATAAAATAGGGAAGTTTCCTCGACCAGATGACATTAACAGTAAAGTGAGAAGTAATCAATCTCCCGACTTGTTATAGTGTTACATAAGAAGCAAGTAACATTCATAAATTCACGTACAAGTTGTGAGGTTTTGTATCGTAAATAAATACAACAGGTGGTCAGTCAACTTTTCAACTTTTTTCATGTACAATAGTCTTATGACTGCATGAAACAGTCTCTCCATTTTATAATAAATAAAATTTACGTTGAGACTACTAAAAGACACTATAGACTGTACCTTCATTGTTCACAGAATCGACATCTTCATCCTTTGTTTGATTTGATTCAATATTAGCCTGTTCACTGTCTTTGTAAAGGATCTATTTAAAGGTAAAACAAAAGAGCCAAGAATAACAAACATGTATCAAATAATGCATTCAGTTAAAAAGTCAACCTTGATCTGAATTTTACGATTATTTTTTTGTTATAGCTGTACCGGATTGAGCAGTCCTGTCGCCAATTTGTAATGATCTCCATGTTATGTACCCGTCGTCAACTGATATGATCATGTCGACAATTGATATGATTGAGCGGACTTACGTGTGGGTATAGTCAATATTGACTCAATGGACAACTCAACTGATAATGCTGGATACACTTATTCGTCAATAGTACCTTCACTTGACTGAGCCGCATAGATATCAAAAGACAAAGACTGGTCAATGACTGTTAGGATACGATTTTATTCGGAAAAAGCACTTCATATTTATATATATCTTTAACCACATTAAAATCGGCCTACGACAGTGAACATAGATTGTTGGCGGCGTAGGTTGACGAAAAATAAATATTCTGATTAGTTGGTAATTTAACTAAGACCAAGGTAAGAAAAAGATGAAATTTCACAGTCACTCGAGCACACGACGAATCATAAGGAGGAAAACTGGCTTAACGTTCGGCTTCAGAGAAATCGTAACCGATGAGGTCTACCATGTTGAACAAGAGAACAAATACTCGCCAACGACACTGACTGGTGGTCGTGCTAAAATCATGAACTGGCAGAAGTTGGAACTCATAAGCCATTAGATTGGATCCCAGTAGGTCACTGGTCTATGGGTTGGCCTTGTAACCGAAAGGACCTGGGTTTGAACCCTGGTGGGTGCGTACGAATAATGAGTCCCAAGCTAGGGAGAAACAGCTGTCTAGTACTCCCTGGTTTTTCACTGATTCTCCAACTGATGGCAGCTTGTGATCAAACTTGAAACCAATCAAATCCCTAAAAACTAACTCTTGAGAACTAATCAATGTTATTGGTTACATAATGGGACTCACAAATCAGTGGATTTCAGTTTTACAGAATTTAATAAATGAATTTGACACTGCAGTAATATGTAATCTCATATTAACTTATTTCCTGGACATATCATACAGTGAAACAGTATCGTATTTACTGGATGACATTTCGAACACTACATTCAGCTATACACAACTATGCAATAGGGTGGGGTGAAGTCAGCCTTAAAATATATATAACATGGTGGAGGACGAGATTGATAACTGAGGCTTTACTCATCGAATCAGGTGAGAAATGATTCGACACCTATCCCAGACATCTGGGAACTTCTACAACTATAACACAACACCAAATGGGAAGGAAAAATGAGAACTACATAGCCCGGGGGTTTTGAAATTCTGCAATTACACTGTGTTTGGAACACCATCATCCAGTAAGTAATATTACGATGACCTAATATTATACTACCTAGATCCCTACACTGAATACTAGGAGTGGGATTTGAATCGGTGACTCAGTGGTTGGAATTTGAAGTGCCTTAACACTCTAAAGCAATGAGAGCTACAACTCTAGTAGAAATTTACCCCGAGAATAATATGATGCGGATATCTATTTGAAAGAATGTTACCAATGAGTGATTTAGAGAACAATGATAAATAACATTTAACAAATTTCACAATGGATGACAACTTACAGCAGGTACCATTGCCTTAATATCTGGTAGACTTTCGTAGAACAAACGAGTATCCTCATCTTCAAAAAGACTAATCTGCTCTTTTGCATCCTTCTATAATTTGAAAATGCATTAAGCAAAAATATAACTTACTTCAGCTGAATCAACTACAATCGAATCTGTTGTAGATTCATCTATATGAATAATAATAAAATATAAAAGAATAAGTAAAATATGATGACAGTTATGAAAAGATGCATAGTTTTTGATTAAATTAACGCATTAACACAGTTAATGATTAATCCTAAACCTTACCAAAGGAGGACAAAGTACAACAAATGATAAGAAAAAAAAGCGAAATTCCACCGGACTAGCGTCCAAGAGAAATTAAACCAGGGTACAAGATAAACTTTGGTGTCCTTATAACTGACTGACTGCGTTGCAGCAAATAACTTTGCACAAAAATGCAGCAGTTCAAGTTGTGACACACTATGCAGGTGTAGCACACAAAAGTAAAGAAACGACATAGAGAAAATGAAATCCCGAAGAGCTATAATATGCACGAGAAAGAACAGTAACATGGAAAAATATGAGGATTTAATGGATATTTGAGATCAAAAACAGTTGAATACATCATTGAAAACGATTTTGGGCCAGTAGTCTCTTCTAACCGTTGGTTCTTAGCACATCCCAAGGTCCCCAACCAGGTAATAGGTGTTAATGTGGTGTTTGGAAGTGAAGTGAGCGGCATAGTGGTATATGTTGTCCATATTTATCATCTGCAAACACTTTGCAGGTAAATTAAAACTATTTCTATTCAATTTGTGGCGAAGTCAATCTATCATAACCAAGACAACAGTGACTTTGAACAAGCAATCAGAATTCAAATGCAAAAAAGTCGCTTAGTCGTTGAAAAACGCACTAAAAAACATTGCCAGCATGCTATTACACTACATAGTCGTCGCTTACATGTTGTAAGAATGTCTCCAAGTCACCACATAGATGAACTTTATAGAAATCATAGGTGCTTTCATCCAGGTGACTTGTAAGTCATAACACTTTAAGATCTATTCGTATTTCTGACACTGTTCTTAAACCTACACTCCTAACTCCAACCATAATCCTAACTTTCAATTGCAACTCTAATTCTAATCCCAACCTTAACCCTAAACCTTAATCTAAAAAAGTCATCAACCTACTTAACAGTGTAGAAGAAGTAGAAAAGTACTGAAAGGTACCCAGGGAATGAGTAGAATACTTTATCTACCTTCTCCAAGTCCCAAAAAAGTAAGGTTCGATTTGGCATGACTCTTCACAGCTTTTGAAAGACCTTTACTTTGGTTATGATACTTTAATTTCGCCCAATTCGCTTCTAGTTTTGTGTGTTTTATTCTTTAACTGAAATTCAGTTGAATATGCGCTGTACATTAGTATTGTGACCGTAGGCTTCTTTACGTCATATTACAAGCAATTCTTATTTTTACCATAAATCTCATCACAGTAGCAAACCGCTGGCGTCTGTCTGAGAACTGTCAGAGTAGTTCCCCGAGAAACGCAGTCAAAACAACAAGATAGATTGTCTGTCTGTTATCGACATAGAACTTTGCACAAATGTGCGGAATTTCAAGTCGTCACACTCCGTGTAGCACACGAAGCAAGAGAAGAAAGTACAAGAAAAGCATAATAGAGACAGTGAGCAGAGGTGTGAGACAAAGGAGGAGTAATAACGAAGAACAAAACAGTTTCATTGGAAATCATGTCACAAGGACTGCTCTAAATTCTATCCATTTGATTCGTATTTCTCCCCTTTACCAGAACAATAATACAAACTATGTTTGACAGGCTTAGTGCAGCCTAAAACAGTGATGTTTTTAGGCCTCAAATAACCTAGTGCTGTATGTATCACATAAACCTCAATCTGACTGATGTCATCAATAACTACCTTAGATGAAACTCAGTTTTCCTAAACTTTCTGAATGAAACATTATACATAAAAATGCATAAACCAAAGTGATTAGGAGTGAATAAAAAGCCAAAATACCGCAACCTATAGTCCGTGTTACACACTAACAGTCGAAAACTGATCTTCATCAACTGAAATCTGTCTGTCTGGATTCAACATAGAACTTGGCACCGAAGTGCAGCAGTTCGAGTTGCCACGTTCCAAATAGCACACAGAGGTAGACAAGAAGATGAGTGGAGAGAATTAATAGAGTTTGACAAATATAGGAGTGAAACAGAATGGGTAATGGTAGAAAGGAATATGAAAGATTACAGAGATTGAATACATCTGCGCCATTGACAACGATTTTGAGCCATGTCACCTATTGTCTCCAGCCATTGATTCCTAGAGTCCCGAGGGCCCCAACCCGGGAGTCTGCATCTCCCTACCTGACTCAGTTTAACTGTCAAGGATTTCATGGATTGATGCCATGTTTTTGTTTGGCCACCACTGGCTCTTTTCCAACCTGAACCTATATCAGCTAACAATGCCCGTCGGGGGAGGCGGTGGTTAGGCATGCGCACCACGTGACCTAGCCATCTTAGTCTATGTAACTTTATAACCTCATCGATTGATTTTCCCTCTTTGCCCAACACTCTACGCCTAACGTCAACATTACTTATCTTGTGAAACCACCTAACGTGAGACAGAGATCGCAGACATCTATGATCGAAAGCAGTCAACCTTTTCATGTCTTCAACGCGTATTGGCCATGTTTCAGAGCCATAGAGAAGGACGGAGCGAACTGATGAGCAGTACACACGTCCCTTGGTTGATAACCGGATGTCACGCCTACGCCAGAGATGGTGTAAGTCAGCGAAAGCAGCTCGAGCTTTTCGGATCCGTGCTGAGATTTCATCGCCAATCAGTCCGTTGGTGCTAATACAACTTCCCAAGTAGGTGAAGTGGTCAACTGAAATACACACGGATGCATCCTATCCAAATAACTTTGATGTGATAATTACATGGTGATTCGAACAACTCTTAACCTTAGATGCAAGCTGGTCATTGAAAAGGAGCTGAGAATGTATAGTTGGTATGTTCATCAAGGTACTCTACACAAATTCATGACGTCACGTAAGAGATCGCAGTGACTCCTGGTTATTGTCATCTCTCATATTTCATTTCATTTTAGGCTCAATTATGGATGTAATCGTGGTTTACTTCAACGTCTAGGAGAGTAGTTTGCTTCACAAAGTGCCTACTTTAAAAACAAGACGTAAAATGGTTGAACGTGTTGATTACTTCACTTGGCTGAGAAGATGCGTTATGCCTACACATACAAGCAGAAGACTTGTTTAGTATTTGCTAACTTGAGTCAACTTGATATCCGGTAGCATATCGAACGACGTGAGTACTAAACAGTACATGGCTCCAGCTGACTTTACAGCTGTAAGAAACAATCACTGAAGGTGTGAGATAAGAAAAGATTAGAGGTTTTCAACCATAAATGTCTGTACTTCTATAAAAGGTTTTTGCGTTAACATATGAGCAGAAATAAAGTGACAACATTAATGTTATGTAAACCTGAGACACTGACGCCTACTTTCTTCCATTTACGTGTGAATAATCTAAACTTTAGCAATGGAGAGGTTGTTCTCAATATAGTGAGCCTAAAAGACTCTAAATCAAATCCATGTCTGATATGACTCATTATCATATTTTACCTGGTTTCTTTGACCCCTCGCTATTTGTGCAGTAAAATACGATTATGATTAAGGTAATTCACATAAAACTAATGGTATAGAAAAATAATATGGGCTCTGGAGAGAAACACTCACCTATAATTAAAGATGAAAATTCCAAGGGTGGATCTGCATCCAAAAGATCAGCCAAACTACTTATTGACTCATGAAATTTACGACAGGTTGACATTAAATTTTCTGCTCGTTCTTGGCGTTCTTCACTCACTTCTCCACGATTTTCTAGTTGTTCACGATTTGCTGAAATGATTCGCTGGGTTTCTTTCACCATACTCTGCAGACGACGCATAGCAGCTGCCAGATAGTCGTTGAAAAGGGTACGACACTTCATTTGACGCTCAGATGACATAAAGGTGGAACGTGGGATAGGTACTTCATACTTCTCAGATAATAGTCTACGCAAAATGAAACCACCATTTGACTGAATTAGTAAAATGTTTTACAATGAAATTTGTAGATTTTCTTACAAAACCTTGTAGAAAATGATTCTCTTTCATCAGGACATATACGATCACTTGCTTATCTATGACACACGAAAACTTGTTATTATGAACTTAATTGTTTATTTTGCATAGTTAAAAGATGTCTTATATATTTATAAGTGCGTTGGTGGCACAGCGGCAGAGTGCTCGCCAAACACGCAGGTGGTTCGGAGTTCGATCCGCGGCCGACGCACTGCTTTCCCTCGCTAAACTAGTAGTAAGACAGTTAAAGAGGGAAGGTTGGGCATGAGGCTAGCAACTCCATCCTGTAAAAATGATCACCACTGCTACAGAAACTGCAAGCCACTAGCTTGAAGCTCTATTTTCCACTGGGGAACGTAAAAGAAAAAAAATTATATATATATACATATATATATTTGTTTGTTCTTTGTTATTTGTGTGCCTCAGTAGCATATTTATCACTCCTGCCCTGTGACACGGCAGCAGGAAGCGCGGTTGTTGTTAATCCGGGCCACGGCCGATCCGGCATGAAATTTTTTGATTTTGTATTTATCATGTTGTTGGATTGGGTAGCTTGTTTAACCGCTATCCAAACAACCTGCCTGGCATGGTAGGACCTCAAGAGACATAAGTCTCAGCCAGTATAGCTTGAATAGAACAATGCGGTGTTTAAGCCCGACCACCACGTCAAGGTAGCAGCTTTCGGTCGGGCTAATATCTGTGAGTATACATCATGTATATGACGTAATTAGAGGAAGAATATTGGTCTTTGTTGTGATAATGAAACATGGTATTAATATGTAGATGATACATCTATCGTTACTAAGATAGGAAATCTGAAAATTACGAACACTAACTCAAACTACATATAATTAAAAGATGCAATAAACTTAAGTGGAAAGGATTAACTCTTCTAGTTATATCATCAAAAAAACTGTATGAAGCCAACAAAATTAGGATAAATATTCGGATGTTATTAATAAAAGTTGCAGGAAGTAAAGGAACAAATAAACAATGAAATGAAACCACAGGTTTCAACGATAACAATTTTAGCCTGTTAGCACACTTCAAAACAAATTCTGAAAGTATTTGCTACATGCGATACTAAAAACCCTCAAACTCTAGCCATGGCTTCATCCAAAGTGAGAGATGTGGTGTCTAAGATGACACAAAACAACTGTGCTAGCCGGGTAATGGTTAATGTGACTGGCTCTCTTTACAGCTAAACGATGCACGGGGTAAATGATTAAAAAGAAAGTATAATGAAAGATCCAACTCATGTTTTACAAAACTCTGCAACAAATGCAAGAAACACAGGAGGAAGGACATAGTTGACACCAAAATGTAGAGTGACTACGCCATAATCAGCAAAAGCCTGCATTAATAACACATGATCTGTCACATCCCCTAGTTACCTTTTACAGTAAATTAATTATATTTGGCCGAATAACTGAAAAACGTATGCCTAAATTACGAAACAACGAGCAAGTAAGTTAATTACTGACAAAAAAGCGAAATAAAGCTGGAATTAGATGCGTAACGACTAAATTGGAGAAAAAACAAGAGGAAGGATGAAGTCTGGAAGAATGTGAACAAGGAAAATACCATCACAGCACATCATTTCCAAAGCCTAAAAAACAGTGCATTTCGGAAACTTAATAGGAAATCCAAAAGAAACTTACATTGAGTACCACACTATTAAATTCAATGAGGTAATTTATTTGATGATTGTAGTTTAATACCAAAATAAACTGTCTATAAATATTTCAATTGATATCCTCACACTGAAACCCATGATGAAAGCTTAAGACAGAAGTGAAACTTTAACAGTCTAATACTGTGTCAATTTAGCACTATATTTTATAGTAGTATATGTAGGCAAACTTACAGTACACAACAGGCACTTTGAACCATGCTTTGAAAGCCTTGCAGACACTGCGGCATCTTCGCATGCACATGCATACAACAAAGAAGTGCGCCCAAAGGCAGACTAGGCTTTTTTGCCTAGTGTCTGTCGTGTGATAAAAGTTTTTGTCAGTCGGATTTGCCCAACCAGAGTTTTACAAAGTTCATGAACATGTGCACATGGCGAGTTAACGCACGACTCTCCACAGTAAAAAGGATACAATATAAAGACTGTAGATATCAAAATCAATATCTGCCAGCAGTAATTATCTTGATATTCTGATAGGACAGGACCAATGTTTTTTAGATCGTTCACATTTTGAGGGAATTTCACATGCTCCCAGTGTTCCCTTGCACATAATTTAAAATATAATTTATACTTACTCCGGTAGTGATGGTAGGCGACGTGTAATGAAGACTAGCAATGACAGGAAGCCAGCGAAGGACAAACTGACGGCAAAAACTGACCTAATCTGCCCACTACTACTGGAAAACTTTGCCTCCATCCCGCCTTTGCGACAAACCTTGCGAGAGAATACCACCTCATCCGAACTGATAGATGCTAGAAGACTTATTCCGGCGAGCTCCGAATTCAATGAGGAGCGAAAGCTGCACAAGAGGAAACTTACGAAAAGTCTCCGCAAGGACCGTGAACAGTGGTGGGTGACAAAAGCGAAAGAGATGGAGAAAGCTTCGAGGATAGGCAACACCAGGCAACTATTTACACTCATCAGGGAAACGGGTGGGAGAAGACAAATCATTAGTGAAACAATCTCGGAAAAAAATGGCACTATAATTAGCTCCCAGGATAGACGACTGGATCGCTGGAAAGAGCATTATGAGGAGCAGTTTAATTGGCCCACAGCCACGCTCAACCTTCCGAACATCCAACACCTCCCTGAATGGGATATAGACACAGGTCCTCCATCCCTAACTGAGGTTACTAAAGCTGTCACCAATCTGAAACTAGGCAAAGCAGCGGGACCTGATGGAATGACTCCAGAGGTATTTAAGTACGGTGGAGACAGTTTACTGTCTGCATTAACTGAGGTACTAGGCAGCGTCTGGGAATCAGAAGAAGTCCCATCGGGTTGGTGTAAGTCACTGATTATCCCCATATACAAGAAGGGAGACAAGTCTTCCTGTGATAATCACAGAGGGATTAGCTTGACTAATATAGTATCTAAAGTCTTAGGCTCAATAATCATGCGTAGACTGAGTGGTGCTCGGGAGGCACAAACACGAGAGAGCCAGGCAGGCTTTAGACCAGGAAGAGGGTGTATTGATCATATCTTCACCCTCCGACAGATTCTAGAACATAGGAATTCCTACCGGCGTCCAACAGTCATTATATTTCTTGACCTAAAGGCAGCATTCGACTCTGTCGATCGAGAAGTTCTCTGGAGATGCGTGGCTGTAAAGGGAATGCCGAGAAAATATATTGCACTGATTAAGGCACTCTACTCGTACTCATACAGCCAGGTGAGGGCTTACGGCGAGCTGTCATCTGAACTGGTGACGACTAGTGGTGTCCGTCAAGGATGCCCATTATCCCCTTTTCTATTCAACTTCATCATAGATGTACTTATGGACTTAACCCTAAGTGACTTCAGCGACTCAGGGATTGACTTGCTACCAGGGAATAATCTCGTTGACTTGGAATATGCAGACGATATAGTCCTTCTAGGCGAAGACGCTGACAAAATGCAGAGTCTTCTAAACACCTTGAGCCGCAATCTACGAATGTTTGGCATGCGATTCGCTCCCGCCAAATGCAAGATGATGTTACAGGACTGGACTACATCGACGCCTAGTTTAAAAATAGGAAGTGAAGTGGTAGAGCACGTTGACCGCTTCACTTATTTGGGAAGTACCATCAGCCCCAACGGGTTGGTCTCTGACGAAATCTCAGCACGGATACAGGGGGCTCGTTTCGCATTTGCCAGTTTACGCCGACTCTGGCGTAGACGAGATGTTCGACTATCGACCAAAGGGCGGGTGTACTGCTCATCAGTCCGCTCCGTCCTCCTTTATGGCTGTGAGACCTGGCCATTGAGAGTGGAAGACATGAGAAGACTAGCTGTCTTTGATCATAGGTGCCTGCGTTCTATTTCCCGTGTAAAGTGGCATAATAAGATGAGCAACATGGAGGTTAGGCGTCGAGTTCTAGGTAAACAGGGGAAATCAATCGACGAAGTCGTGAAGTTACAAAGACTGAGATGGTTAGGACATGTGTTACGTATGCCAAGCCATCGCCTCCCTCGACGAGCAATGTTAGCGGATATAGGGTCAGGCTGGAAAAAAGCTAGCGGCGGTCAAACCAAAACATGGCACCAGTCAATGAAATCCACAACAGTTGGTCTAAGCCACGTAGGAAGGTGTAGACTTCCTGACTGGGGTCCTTGGGTTGGTAAAAATCTATGGTTGGAAACAATTGGTGACATGGCTCAAAATCGTTCTCAATGGCGCAGATGCATCCACTCCTTGTGACTTATGATCTTCAATGAAACTGTTTTGTCCTTCGTTATTACTCCTTTGTCTCACACCTCTGCTCACTGTCTCTATTATGCTTTTCTTGTACTTTCTTCTCTTGCTTCGCATGCTATACGGAGTGTGGCGACTTGAACTGGTGCACATTTGTGCAAAGTTCTATGTCGAAAACAGACAATATATATATATATATATAAGGAAACATTACTGATACTGCAGTCTGAAAGGTGTGGAAAATGATGTACTAACGTCCAAGGAACTAACACAATTGACTGTGGTTTAAGCTAGGTATTAGGAAGAGTATACATAGTGGCAATGAGGCAAATTACCGGTTAAACAACATTCAAAACAGATGAATAATTGAAACCACCAAGGTATCTTAAAAGTATATATCTTTGAAGGTGTGTGTTTGTGCAGTCGTAAACGATACCTACTGCAGTGCCAAACGCCTTCACACAGAGATAACTTTTAGTTTGTTAGTGTTGACCAGTGGAACTGTTTGCGACAACAGTTTAATCTACAGAAGTATATAAATACAAACAAGCTTTGGGTGCATAGTATTTTTCAACAACCTCGAAAGTACAATACTCTCAAATAGTTAACAAAATCACACATCAAGTCTACAATAGACTCGTTTATAGATTCAGCTAAGATATTCACCGTTGAATACGAAAACTAAGGATTCAATTCACATCATACTGTATTACAGATTAGTTGGCTGTTGACTATTTGTAATGCTACAAATTGCGCATCTTTATGGTTACTATCTTGAGAAAAGTCTGTCTGTCTGTCTGGATTCAACATAGAACTTGGCACCGAAGTGCACCAGTTCGAGTTGCCACGTTCCAAATAGCCCACAGAGGTAGACAAGAAGATGAGTGGAGAGAATTAATAGAGTTTGACAAATATAGGAGTGAAACAGAATGGGTAATGGTAGAAAGGAATATGAAAGATTACAGAGACTGAATACATCTGCGCCATTGACAACGATTTTGAGCCATGTCACCTATTGTCTCCAGCCATTGATTCCTAGAGTCCCGAGGGCCCCAACCCGGAAGTCTGCATCTCCCTACCTGACTCAGTTTAACTGTCAAGGATTTCATGGATTGATGCCATGTTTTTGTTTGGCCACCACTGGCTCTTTTCCAACCTGAACCTATATCAGCTAGCAAAGCCCGTCGGGGGAGGCGGTGGTTAGGCATGCGCAGCACGTGACCTACCCATCTTAGTCTATGTAACTTTATAGCCTCGTCGATTGATTGAGAAAAGTACTATAAAGGATATCTCAAAAATTATATTGAACAGGAAATATACATGTCATATGTTTATACCTTTAAACTACAAAGCAAATAAGGTGAGAATCAAATGTGTAGTATAATAACGTAAGTTGTAGTATGAAAAAGCTGTATTCCTGATGTCACTGATTTTACTGTGTGACAAAAATCAACCAAATACTTACCTTATGCGACGTGGAATAACTCCAATCCAATCGTCACTGCAATGTCGACAGAAGCTACTAAGTATCCCAATATTAGAGAAGTTTTCGTGATCATTTGCTGCTAAGATAGTCAATTGTCCAGCTAATAGTCGGATGCTATCAGTCTCCCGAAATATACCAATTGTATTAAGGTCAGCAAACAAGGCCAAGTCAACTCGAAGCTTGGAAAGATTAGCATTCTATAAAAGCAAGTTTTTAAAGACTTATTCTAAAGCAAAACTACCTTTAAATCTTTATGTGACGAAAATGATTTTTTCCATGCATCGAAAAATAATGCACCAAAATCTGAATAGCGTTGGTACATAGCTGAACACAATTTCAGCATAAATGGAATGTCAGTGATTTTTATTTTTGCCTCAACAATTGCAGTTGCTACTTCTTCAACATATTTAGAAAGATTTAAGGACTCGAACTCAGACAGAAGAACATCTTTCTGGCTATCAAGAAAATTTCTCTGCAGGAAAAAAAATGCTTCATATAGTTAACCTAAACTTACAACTTTTTTAACAAAAGCAGTATTCTTTTTTAAAGTTGAGTCTTTTTTCATGAAAAAGCTATCGTCTGGCCATTTGCCCGCCACTGCTAAGTTTTGCTCTAGTAATGCTGTCCTCAAAGACAGACGTTCACAAGTTTCAGCAATGAACTCATTTAACTGCTTCTTCTGAAAAATAGGGATAAGACCTTTTTTCACAAAAATACCTCTGCTGCTTCTGGCATATGTTCTTTTTCACTCATTTTGTTTACTTAGGTTCCAAGAAGTTGTATCACATGTTCCTGTAAAAGAATTAAGTATCTGGAATAATTAAAAACTAATTTAAGAGACACAAATATCGATACATTTGAATAGTAGGAAGAAAGTTTTTAAAAATGTACATCAAGAATAAGTAAGAAAAGGTAATATAATTTTATTACATACCCATGAAATGCAAATTATGTGATGTAAAAAGCATTTAGTCAAAGTCGTCAACTTTATTGAAAAAGATGGAGTGGTCATACTAGCGAAAAACTTCACCATATACATACAGCCTGTGCAAACTGGAAAGTCAGCTATGGAATTCTACTTTTACACAGCAACAATGTTTGCTAAAAGAATCAGCTACTTTTGTTCAATTCTTTTAGAAAGACTATATGACTGACTGACTGACTAAATTTCAGCATAGAACCTGGCACAAAATGGGAGCAGTCCAACTTGCTACAATCCTATTAGCACACAGGTAGAGAACAGAAAATGGACTAAAAAAACTTTAATGAACGGAAATATTCAGCAGAAAAAATAATAGTAAAGAAAGACATGAAGAATTAATGGATCAGGCAGACCCCAAAAAGTGGTCGTATCTTATGCCACGACCTTAAGAGAAGTCAGTGTTAAGTGAATTCTATGACTGTAACTTAGTGCTGAAAAAAGTCAGTGAAAGAGCTGTTAGTTTCGCAATACTGACTTCCAACCTGGAGGTACCCTAAACCCTGCATATAAATACTTACTCCTGAATTGAAATAGAAAAAACAAATAACAATCTCTTATATGACCAGAGAAGTGTTTTGTTCTTTGAAGCAGAGTAAAATTCGTAACAAGACTGGGTAGGAATGACGTTTGTGAACAACCCTCGCGCATACTATTGGCTGTCATTAATTACACTGCCATCCACAGGGTGGTACACAGTTATATAAATTCAAATAAAAACCTCAGCTAGCACAGTATAATTTTCATAACTCCCGTCCTATAGGCTCTTGAAGTATCGTTCAAATGACCTGTTTGCAATCAATCTTAACAGCAAATAAGTGCCGGTCAGCGGTCTAAAGAAATGCCTCGAAACACATAAAAGAATGGATATTTGGCTAATACACTGCTCCTTTTAATTAAGGCCGTATTAAGCAGAAAAACGGTCACCAACGCCAGAATTTTTCAGTTCAATGATCTAAAATGACCGCATGTATATATATGGCCGAGAAGACAATTTCTTTCGCTGAAACCTCTTTTGAATTTGTTTCACTTATGTAATTTCACTACAATGTGTATTTAACAAATAGAAAGTTTTAAGCCGTGACCTGTCTTGACTATAGTATACCCCATACTATGTGGTAAGCAATGTCTGAGTGAGCTGACATCTGAACGCAATTATATCCTACATTATATGGGGAGTAATACAGAGATTAGGTAAGGAGCAGAAATTAATCCATGAAATTGTGGAGCTACATGGATTGAGATAGCTGAGGCGTGTTTACACATGACATGCTATCACCTTCCACGTCAAGCACCATTAGTTGACACAGGATTACACCGGAAGGGGTGTGGTGAGATTAAGATGTCACACCGATGTATGGAGTCTTTCACTACTGACTCGAGCGTCGTAGGTAAGTATAGACTACCTGTCTGGGGGGCTCAAGACGCTACGCATCAGTGGCTGGAGACCGTTGCTGACATGACACTTTATGAACTCCCATAAAAGTTGAATTCTAATTTCTCACTATTTGATTATGCTTTTTTTTCTTAAAATGATCATTTATCATAGGCTGTTTGAATTTAATTCCTCCAACTTTATTTGTGTGATGTATGACATCTTCAGCCACTACATTAATTCGTTGAGAATTAATTCTAATTTATTCACATAATGTACATAAATCTATCAGTAATTTATTCTTAAAATATCTGAAAGGAAAGCTAATTTTCTTGTTTATAACAAATTCAACTTCTTCAACTGTGAACAGCCAGAAAGCAGGTAGAAACCCTACGCGATTAGTAGTCCATCAACTCCCAGTAAGATTACCAAAATTTGCTCCACGTGTCGTTTCAGAAAACACAGTAGTTTTAAAAAAATTCAAAAAATTTCAGTCAGAAATTGGAGAAATGGAACCATAAATCATTTCAAAGGTTCTGTGATCTAAACATTGGTGAAGATCACTACAGTTTCACTTCGTCCAGGAAGTTCTGAATTTCTACTGGACAACAACTAACTCCGTAACAATTTTGAATATAATGGTGCTTACTTTTTTAAAAGCACATCTCAGCTTGGGTGTCCCGCTGGCGCCTTGCAATTCAATATCCAATGTCCTTTTTACAAGCTAATATAAAGCAAATTAATTTGTTAGGGTCCTCTCTTTGGTCATTCCCACGCCCTCAGAGAAATTCTGCCTAGTTTTTCCAGACACATGACTTCCATAGCTTTGAATGACTCTAAGGGGAGTGGTCCGGGGATGGGTTTCACAAGGTTTGTTAAGACCGTGCTGCCATTGTGAATGTATTTATTCCGTCATGCGAAGTTATCAAAAAGCAAGTTAATGGTAAGAATAAATATGATTATTGGGGATTATGAAGAGCAAAATATAAAGATGAACGAACAAAGAGATGATGAGATTTAATAACTAAGAAGTGAGTATACATGTAACGTAGTCAGGGGAGTGAGACAAGGGAGAATGGGCAGCTGTAAGGGAAGTGCTCATATGATACCTGTTAAGAAATTGTCGTATGTTAGTCTAAATGTTTTAGGTCATATGTGTACACTCGTTTGTCGTCGCATAATTACTCAACGTCCACTTCAAACTATCTACGGAAGATACAATAGTCGCAAATTCTAGTAAATAGCTTGAGGGACAGAAAAATCGGAACATAAAGTGATGGGAACACAATGAAGGCTTTCCCTTATGATGCGCGATCCTCTTTTGGTTCCCATGAGAAAGTCCATAATGACTTCGCTGGCAGAAAACCATTGTTTGAATGAATATGGTCATTCATAATCTTCTGGGCAGTAATTGTTCACCTTTAGGCCGACTTTGGCTGTGTGTAAAAAGTCATGATTTTCTTACACTGGCGTTGTGTCATTTATTCCGGAGACGCTTCGCGGATGCCTTTGGATCCCTCCAATAATTCAGCACATGCTTTAAGTAACAGATGAGTAACGATATTTTGCTATTCAAGGTGCGATAGTAAATATTTTTACATTCTCAGAAAACTCAACTTGCTCTACATACGTGAACTATATAACTGAGTGTTCCACCACTCCGCTTGTATCCAGCGTTTTCATCAGATCAGGCCCTAACTCACGCTGTGATGCGGCGCAGGACATGTCGTCATCACAGGAAGTAACAATCCCTTTGTGACTCTGGGGTACGCCATTGCGTCACTTTACTTTTAAGGTTGAATTACATATCTTTTACCTTCTCTCAGTCTTCAATAAATTTTGGGCTTGCCAGGAACTGGTGTACACACACTCCCTTCCTGGTGGGCCCTTAACTCCAGTAAACACTACCTTGATCACTTGCATCATGTGCATGACGTGGTCCCGACATACCTGGTAATACCGTGAGGTTTTTTAATTTGAAAATAAGTTCACAGCTCGTGTTAGGACCATGGTACTATTATTACCTGCACTGTTTTTTACTGGCCAGCAATTTATTTCCATTGGGAGAGTTAAGATGGCAACAGAAATGATGTGGTAATAAAAATAAGGAAAGCAGTGTGCAAAAGATTAAATTTCGCAGCATGCTAAACCACTCATAGTTGTGCAATGCTATTTGGTGTGTTAAATCCATATACGCCTTATGGCTGAAACTGTCTGTCACCTTCAAGGTCATTGTTGGAGTGAGACGCTCAAAGGTCATTTTCGTCCATGTTAGTCGGCCATGGTGGATTGCTGTTTCGTAGCCGTTGCATTACCCACAAAATTTAACCTTTCTCCCGCAGTTGTTCACAAATTATTTGATACGTACCGTTCGCAAATATTGTTTCATCACCTTTGAGTTTCCGTTTGACAGCGAACCCACGGAAACTGTCAAAGTCCAGCTCTTGCTACGCTGGACCTCACGCTGTCCCTGGAAGACTTTCAGAAACACTTTGTATTAACCAACGCGAAAACCAAAACACTGGTTGGCGACTCGAGAATCCTTTATTCTTACGCCAACATATAATCAACAATAAGGTTGTTACACACAAGGTTCAAGAATAAATGTTACAACAATAAATCACAATAGTGCTTCTGATAGTTTTTATTCTTCCTCTGAACAGCGAACGATGAGGCGATGACTGCCGGATTGATGACCCGCGAAAAATATGGAGGAGTTGGGCTTGAGCAAACAACCATGAATTGATCGTTCAATCTTCAACTACATCGACACTCCCCGGCAAAAAAGGATCTATTCCTTTTTTCCATCACGACCAATACACGTTAACTTGGATGCCAGTACGAAAACCTGTGTCACACGGACAAAGCTGAAATGGAAATATTATGTACTCGTCGCCAAATTATTGTTGTGTACTGGTGGAGAATTTAATAGTCCTGACGCAAGAAAGACGGAAATCAGAAGGCCACTAGGTTTGCGATGATACTTCTATTTTCCAAAACCAGGAGAATCAATGTCCACAAGAATGTGAATGCAATATATATATATATATATATATATTAATGTCCAGACAAGCGTGTGAACAAATCAATAGACAGTCTTAACATGAATGGCTAATTATAATGGAGTATCGATCCATATATACATAGCAAAATATAGCAGACATGTCAGCAAACATACATATTATATGGATATATGTCACCAAGGTCAGACTGTCAACAAACACACATATTATATATAATATAAGGGGAATATACACTGTTAAAGGAGACAGGTTCATCAAAGTGCAATTGCCACAGACTAAGAGAGCAATAGAAAGAGAAACCACCATACACATATATATATATATATATATGGATACATATCACCTCCCCTTTTGAGAATATTGATGATTAGTAGGATGTTTTCCTGGGGGTTTATCTGGAACCTTTGAGCTTGTTGTTGACGTCTGTCGTTTCGTATGCCTGTTGGGTTTGAGGCTTCGGCTTCGTCCGGAATTGTCTGACATTTTATGCTTCTTGACTGCATTGCATAGCTAATTTAGTGGGACTTCAGCCAGATGCAAACGATTGAACCAATCAAGTCCCTAAAGATTTAAATCACTCTTGGTGACGTAGCAGACTCCTGTGAATCTGATGTTACGGAATGAAACAGAACATTTGAGTTCATCAATTAGTTTGAGCCGCCCAGCACAGGCGCTGAGAAGAGTCTGGGAAGTATTTGTGATAGATGGTCTGCCAAAAGTATTCCAAAGTTCCTCTGATATAACAGTAACATCAGGGGCGGTATCTAGCTGCAGACGTGTATCATGACCATTCATCTGAAGATAAAGATATTTCCGCATACCTGGTGTTGTGACTTGACAGGTTGCGAGTAGACTCAATGATCTCCTTGGATACATATCAGGAAAACAAACAGAAAAGCCAACACACCACAAGAATACCCACAGCACAATCACACTCATCAACGACGACCTAGTTAAAGTCATCCTCTTGACATCTTGCAACACAATCGTCACTTGCTGGAATGACTCTTGCAGAACGCAATGTGACCATAGCACCACTTCATGATACCCTTCGCACATCCTCTTATCTATTCACTACCAACTACCACTGCGACCGCTTGTCACTCATTCTGCCTCTGTTCTAGTAACGGTGACGTACGCAAGCCTCAGTCGTCTACACCCTTGCTTCTTGGCGTGTGTGATCATGGCCTAAATAGAAACATTCATTCTCAATCATTGATCCCACAGCTGATCCTTATCTCCGTGCGCATGTCATTCTCAGCTATAGCCTCCCCGGCGTACACGACCCATCTGCTGTCTCTAACATCAGTCAATTCATTCACGGATGTAGAAGACTCGAAACAACCTCAGAAGTAAGCACGATGAAAATTTTAACAAAATTATGCATAACAACAAAATACGAAAACAACAAGTAAACACAGCGAATCCAAAAAACACCAATTGATATGACAAACCACACATATATACAAACAGTACACACAAACTCGCGGATCATGTCTTGATGGAATTCCTTTGAAGAGTCGCAGGACTTACACCAGTACGCCTACAACCCTTCACAGGTTGACGATTGTAAGTTGTGGAATGTTCGGACACAAACAAGATTAACCAACAATTACAATAATTGGAACTCACACAATTATTTAACACAAACATATGTACAATCAACACGTCAAGTGTTGAGGATTCTGGCACGGCAAACTACCCTTGAAGAACTGTAGGACTTACAGCAGTACGCCTACATTCCTTCTCAGGTTGATGATACAAGTGGAAGTCGTCCGGACACAAACAGAATTACCAACAGCTAGATGATACATGATATCAATTCAGTATATGCAACATGAACCTATGTACCAAATCACACACCAGGCACATTGGACTGCTCACTGATGCGCTACCCTTTGAAGAATTGTAGGACTTACAGCAGTACGCCTACAACCCTTCTCAGGTTGACGCTCTAGGTTGGAAAATCGTTGCAGAGTTCATTTGCTGACTTCCTTCTATCAGCTATATCCTCCACTCTGAACGGTAACACGCTCATTTCATTTTATCGTGGAATATAGGTTACGAACAAACATACGACGTATTTGACCAACCAGGTTTGGGTACAGAGTAATTTACACCAACGATAATAACATTCAAATAGGAACTTTCAACTTGAAAGGCCTTTATTCGTGCAAGTCAGTTTAACAATTACCCTCTCGTACACAGTTGGCTTATCCTCACCAAACTGACCAATATCTTTCGTCTTTTCAAACGGAGTGATACTAGCATGGTCATGGCATAAGACACGTGAGTTCATGGACGTCCCTTTCATTGCGGATGACAACACCGACGACGACTGAGTGATACAAGCTGATGAACTTAGCGGTGCAACAGAAGCTGTTGTTTTTCGGGTTTTAGTAGTTTGTCTAACTGCAACATACGCATACGATAACCAACCAATATTGAGGTAAGTACAACCTTTACAAGGGAGTGAAAGCTGTTTTAGAAAAGTTAAAGCGCTAAGTTGAATCATTAAGGTGTAATAAATTAAGTGCAATATATCATTAATAAATGCATTTATATAGGAAACAGAATCGGGAAGTAATTAATCCTTAGGCCGACAACGTTCATTTGC